ATTATTATTACTATTATTACTATTATTATTATTATTATTATTATTATTATTATTATTATTATGAGATTCTCATGATTTTAATATTTCTGGAAATTTGAATAACACCTTATTGGGTGGGATTAGGATTATCCCAAAATAGAGTAATGTGAAACCCATGGGCTTCACTTTCTTGGGTTTTAAAAAAGTCTAATAATTGTACCAAACATGAGAATCTGAAAGATTCTCATTCCCACCCTTATGATTACTCCATACCAAACGCCCCCTAAATTCAAATTTCGATATAACGGTATGAAAATTGAATTTTTCTTTTTTTTTTCTTTTGACCTTTTTGGTGGTTGAATTTTTTGGTGATTGTCCAATGAGTAGCATCCCATATGCTGATTGTGCAATCCACAGATGCAGATACCAGACCAGATTGGCTGAAAGTCAACGCAGTTATTGCTCCACTGCAATGAATATGAATAATATTAAGTTAAGCCCAATATACTATAGTCAAGTAAATTCTAAGAGTATTCAATAATTATCGGGCAATCTATTCATAAGATCTTAACACATGTTCTGAACACTAAACAGATTTGTCCTGCAATATCTACTAAGAAAATGTCAAATTTGACTTAAAATTATAGATTCTTTAGGAGAGAAAACTTAATAATTTTGGACCATTTTTATCACTGAATGATATTCATATCCAATAGGTTGTGAAACCTTAAACACCACACAATATTACTTGTGTCCTTGCAGCATAATTGGTTGATCTTGTGAAAGGGAAAAAGGATCCTCCATTAGGCAAATGTCAAGCTTGTTGATGAAAATTCTACCATCAAGGCCTCCACAAAATACAAGCTCTTCTGTTGGGTCAAGAACAACTGCAGTTATCCCTACCGGGTAAACTACAGTTTGCAAGATTCTTCCCAAGACCAAATCTGAGAACTGTGGAAGAGGGGAAAATGATTTTCTTTTAGCGAGAACTTAAAAACCATAATATACTAATACTATGAATAATAGAAAAGAGTTTTAGCCCAATTCATATATGTCAAACTCTGATAGGCTAAAACACTTCTTTTCCGAAAAAAAAAAAAAGAAAAAAAAAGAAGACTTTGAGACCCATAAACACATGTCAACTTAAGGATAGTAGGATTTTAGTAGTAATGGGGTTATATAGAGCATTTTCTAGGAAAAAAGAAAATAGTGGCGTAGGCCCCATACCGTGGAATTTGAATTTTAGTGGTTTCATTTATTATCTAAAGTGGCAGACATAGACCAACATTGTATATAAAAAAAATAATAATAAGGGTAATTAGCACGTATGGTCTTTAACATTTTTAATAGGTGACAGTTTGGTTTTTATTTTATTAATTTTGATAAAATAGTCCCCAATATCATTAAATTAGTACAATTAAGTCCTTTTCATCCAGTTTTGTTAATTTTTTAACATAATTGATCATGTACAAGACATGTGATCTTATAAAAGAAGGACTTTGGTAAAATATCAAGGCAAGGGTATTTTTATTTTTATTTTTGAAAGGAAAGGACAACAAAAAGAAAAAAACGTAAACTCATAAACTGAGAAGAAAAAAAAGGGGAGAGTCCATTAGCCGCCTTTAATTGGATTAGAGATGAGCCCCACATACCAAGTTGGAGAAAATAAGTGCTGCAGCAGAGAACTAAAACCCCCATCTTCATCTTCGTCCCAAAAAAAAAAAAAAAAATAGATCCCAACTTCTCTCTTAAATGCCGGCAACGACCTCCGATACGCCCCTAATTATCAGCGACCTCCGATTCACGATAGAAAGCGTGATTTCTTCCCGACTGTTGACCTGCAAATGAGATCAGCGTGATTTCGTAAAGACCCGTCATGCGGTGGATTTCGTCACGACGAAGATCGCGATTCTTGTTTACCCGCGAAGGAGATCGGCGTGATTTCATCAAGACTTGTCCCTATGCGGATGATTTCATAGCGATCCGTCATAGCCGTCGCGATTTCGACGTAATTCGCTACTCCCGACGTCGAGGAGTTCGACGCGATTCGCGACCTCCAACATTGTGACGGTGGCCGCGACTTCCTTGCGACGTCTCGACTAAAATCACGACTTGCTGTGATAAGGTCGCAACAACTAGGCGGCGAGCTTGGGTCCAAATCCCGGCGAGATTCAATCGGTTTTCTTTTTTCTTGGTTTTTTTAGTTTTTAGTATTTAATTATTAGTGAGATTATTTATGTGGGGGATATTTTTATAACTTTACTATAAAAGTGACATGTCTGAAGATCACATGTATAAAACCGTTTAAAATTTAACGGAGTTGGACGAAAAAGACTTAATTGCACAAATTTAATGACGTTGGGAACTATTTTGTCAAAATTAAAATAATAGAGACTAAATTATCATCTATTAAAGAGGTTAGAGACCATCCATGCCAATTACTCAGATAAAAAAAAACCTTGCATGTGCCATCTGAGGAGCTTGATACTAAAATTGGACTTGAGATGCCTGATGTAGTGGCCAGACCAGTTATGGAAGAACTATGATCCAAGGAGTAGTGCAACAAAGGAGGGGAGCTTCCAGAATCTTCTACGTCTAGCAAACTTCCACATAATTGAATCAGAGAAATGGGTGGTATCAAGTGGAATGTTTTTCACCTAGTGTTTTTCTTGGGGGGTAAAACTTAAGGGAAGCAGAAATTCAGTCTTTACCTAATCATAGGCCAAACACAGATCATACCATCATCAGAACCAGATATGAGAAGAGAACCATCATCCGAAAACAGCATACAGGTCAAAGATCTACGGTGGGCGCGCCAAGTTTTGAGCAGTTTTCCACTTGAAGCCTAGAAAAAGTTTATCAAATAATCAAGCTTGCTTCTATATATATGGACAATGTTATTATTGGGAATGCTATTATAAAAAGAACAAGAAAGATATATGAAAACAACATAATATTTTGTAGATTTTCTTAGTTGAATTAATAAGATGTTTGGTAGCAATACCAAGTTTTAGCATTTGAGTAGAAAAATTACTCATGCAGTGCTACTTCTGGTGTTAAAAATTTACTTTTTACAAGTTTTAAAGCTTAATATTATGTCAAAAAGGAAATATAGCATTTTATACAGCATTGTGCATTAGAATACAAAGAAAAATACATAACAACTATGGGCGCGTTTGGAACTCGTTTCAAAATAATTTTATTTTTTGTATGAAAATGAAAACGTTTTCAATCTTAGACAACAATCATTTTTGAAAATGTGTTTGGTAGTTTTATCAAAAGATTGTTTTCAGTGTAAAAAACCTATTAAAGTCTCTCTTTCTCTCTCTCTGCTCAAGAGAGGAGAAAACGAAAACAAAAAATGAAAAACAATTAAAAGTCGTTTTTCATTTCTCTCTCATTTTACACTAAATCAAAAAATCATTTTTATTTCTGTTTTTTATTTTTATTGCACCTTTTTATTTTTTCTTTCTTGAAAAACGTGAAAAATAAAAACAGAATCAATTCTAAACACGACCTAGGCTGCTTCACCCGTCTTAGTGCTTAATATAGCATTGGTATTGGCACTCCATTGGAGATGGTCTAGAGGGCTAAAATCTTAAACTTGTTACTAACCTCCCAAATATAAGCATTCCCAGATAGAGCTCCACCTCCAAGATATATACCATCCTTGGTGCAAGAAAGTGGTCCAATGGCCTCCATTGGATAGCTTCTCACAGGTGACTGAGGCTGAAAAAATAGAAGAAAAATCGTTTTTGTGGGCAATATATTTACTTGAAAGAATCCCTCTAATTTGTTCTCATTAATATTTGCTTCCGCACAATTTATACATTTTGATAATAAGTTACTGGTAAAATCAGTCAGATGAGTGGAAATACATGAAGTCAAGTCCACCAAAATTCAAATTCAAAGCCGGTCACTAACAAAAGACACTATAATTAGACTACATTCAATTTTCTTTTCCTTTTCTTTGACCAACCATCTATTTCATTAGTTTATTACCAAAAAAAGACCTTGGAGAATTATAATTTTGAACATCCACTTCAAGAAATCTTTCTCTTTAATTGGAAGTAAAAGTATACTATAACAGAAGATTTGAACTTTTTGAATCTTTTCACTTAGAGTTGTTTGGTTGAGAGATTCGTATCCCGATTCGAATCATGATTCATAGTTCACTATAATGTTTTATCTTACAAAAAATATACGTAAATCGAAAATAATTCTAATCTATGAACCAAACGTCTCTTTAGTTTCTCAAAACCAAGTTGCGTAGTTTTAAGAATTCAACTATTAAGTGTAGAATTCAAATCTCCTCCACTTAAAAAAATAAGTAAATAAATAAATAAAAACCAGCTACCCATTTTAGAAAAATCCCAGGACTTACTCTACAAAATTGTTGAAACAACATACAGCCAATGAGAGGAAAAAAAAAATTTTTTTTCTGAGGAATTTATCAAGGGGTCTTTATGTTGGATTCCAAAAAGAATAAATAACAAAAACAAACATTTTTTTTCTTCCTCTTTTATAGTAGAATACTCGAATATCATGAAATGGAGTGGTTTGAAAATAATTAATTTAATTTAACTAACCTTGTTCAAGCACCACATGAAAACAGCACCGCCTCCAACAGAGCCATGCCTGTGAATCTGAGAAGCAAAAAGGAAGTGATTTCTGAAGCACAACAAGCCATGGCGAGGAGAAGCACAAGTGGGTATGTGGAGGATATGATCCCCTGTCTCAACGTCCCATATTGTTATTCCTGTTGCCATGCTCTTGTCACTGCACACTACCAATGCCTCATCACCCCCTTTTCCCATCTCTCTCTCTGTCTTTCGTTTTGAGATAGGGAAGAAACTATATTATATGTATACATATATGTGTGTATGTGTATATATGTACATATTTTAGTAAACTTTTATGAATTGAAATTATGAGCCCTTTCATTTCATAACTCAAAAATTTTAGTACAGCGTTTTCTAATTTTATATAAATCCATTTTTTAATTTAAATTTTCAACTCAAATTTACAAAGTAAACGAATTTTAAGATTTATTTAATTCGTTAATTTGAGTTTTTAATTTGAATTTATATGTGACTTTATGTAAAAAAATTTATTATAATAAAAAAAATTAAATATAATTATTTTTTAAAATTTTTTAATATAATAAAATTCAAATTTTAAATTTAAATTAATAAAATGAACGAGGTTTAGAATTTTTGAAGCATTTGCCATGCAAAAGGGTACTTTAGGGACGTTGCATGGATTGGGCGACGAGTGGCACTTGGTATTGTGAAAGGAGACAAAGTTGGTTGAGGAACTATGCATCTTTTTCTTCATATCATATATGCAGGTGTTGTGCATGCAGACCATGATCTCTTCTTCACACCCAATGGGAGCGTGACACGTGTGACATTAAATTTCCAAATGAATCAGGGAAAGAAGACAACAAAGCAATTTGGTTTTGTCTCGGAAATTTTTTAGGAGTTTAATTTTAGTATAATTTTTAAGTTTAATTTGAGTTATAATTTGAGTTTGTATTTAGTTGTATATATTTGAGTTATAGTTTGAGATAAGAATCTTTTTGAGTTTGTGTTTGAGTAAGTCAAAACTTGAATTTGTATTTAGATAGTATTTTAATAAAAACTCAATGTTGATGAAAAATTTTAATAGGGTATATGGGTCGGGTTTTATTCGTCTTTTAGTTGTCAACGCATAGAAAAAAAAAATCATCTCAATCAAAATTAAAACGAAAAAGTTATAGCATTTTTAAGAATGAAAAAAATACTATTAATTAATTTGAGTTCGAGTTTTTGAACTCGAGTTGAAGGGGGAACTTGGGCTTATTCTTTTGGAGTTTAACTTGAGTTGAATTTGAGTTATAACTTGAGTTGAACTTGTAACTTGAGTTTGTGTTTAGTTGTATATATTTGAGTTATAGTTTGAGATAATAATCTTTTTGAGTTTGTGTTTGAGTGAGTCAAAACTTGAATTTGTATTTAGATAGTATTTTAATAAAAACTCAATGTTGATGAAAAATTTTAATAGGGTATATGGGTCGGGTTTTATTCGTCTTTTAGTTGTCAACGCATAAAAAAAAATTATCTCAATCAAAATTAAAACGAAAAAGTTATAGCATTTTTAAGAATGAAAAAAATACTATTAATTAATTTGAGTTCGAGTTTCTAAACTCGAGTTGAAGGGGGAACTTGGGCTTGTTCTTTTGGAGTTTAATAAAAACTCAATGTTGATGAAAAATTTTAATAGGGTATATGGGTCGGGTTTTATTCGTCTTTTAGTTGTCAACGCATAAAAAAAAATTATCTCAATCAAAATTAAAACGAAAAAGTTATAGCATTTTTAAGAATAAAAAAAATACTGTTAATTAATTTGAGTTCGAGTTTCTGAACTCGAGTTTAAGAGGAAACTCTAAATTTGAATTTTAGTCATAAACTCAAATTTAAACTCGAGTTTAAATTTAAATTTAAACTTAAAAGAATATAAACTCAAATAAAATTGTAAGTCGAGTTACATAAATTTTTCTCTAAAAAAAATAAGTCGTAAGTTCTTAGAGAGCTAGTCAAGACCAGTTGAGAGTGTGGGACCTAGTAGTACTTTTGGCCATAACGTAATAGTTTGAATGAGCTATGCTTTGACCAGCTGTTGGTGTTGTAAAATGCAACCGTTCAGTCACAATTGTTTAGGTTTCGTTTCGTTCGTAGATTTAAGTTTTTAATTTAAATTAATATGTAATTTTATATAAATTTTTTTTAATTATAATAAAAAATTTAAATATAATTTTTTATAAGAATTTTTAACTAGTAAAATTGAAATTAAAAACTCAAATCGTTAAAATAAACGAGAACTTAGTATTATTGACTCTAATGAAGATATTTTTAATCGTTTCTTTTATGTATATATGAAATGTTATAAGAAAAGGTTCTTTTACTATGTCAGGAGCAATATTATGTATATGATTACTTGCAAACTTAAAATTGGACTAATTAGATGAAACGGTTTACTTGCGAACCTCAAAGGTTTCAACATTGGTGTCGTGAATTACATTAAAAAGAACAATATACTTTTGAACTTTGAATATTTAAAGTTTAAAAATGAAACCCCGTTCATTTCACTGATTCGAGTTTAGAATTTGAATTTTGCTACAGTAAAAAGCTCTCACAAACAATCACATCTAACTTTTTTACTACAGTAAAAAGTTCTCACATAAAATCACATCTCAACTCGAATTAAAAACTTGAATCAGCGAACTAAACGGGTATAAACCAATATTGGTGTTATGAATTAGACTCTTGACACCGTAGAACAATCCCATAAGAAGTCATTCAAAATATGATGTCATTTCACGTCATTTGAAACCTCTTACAAATTTTTATTTTTATTTTTATTTTTTTTGCCTCCGTGAAAATTCAGGCATATAATGAATTAGTTGACATTGACTAATGGATATTTTCATTCTCTAAGAAATATTAAATTTAATATTATATTATTTACATTTCAGGATCATCAACATATGGTTTATTGGAAAAACGACAATAAAATGCAACCTTAAGGACTTGTAATGTGCTCAAGAACGACACGGACTATTAAGAAAATAAACGGCATGCAGTTTAAATAATCAATTTATTAGGTCCCGTTTAGTTCATTGATTCTAATTTTATTCAAGTTAAGATGTGACATTATGTGAGAGTTTTTTACTGTAATAAAAAAGTTAGATGTGACTGTTTTTGATAACTTTTTACTGTAGTAAAACTCAAATTCTAAATTCGAATCAGTGAAATGAACGGGAATAATCTAATATTACATTACAGGTTATCAACACGGTGGTTAACTAAATATAAACGATAGAACTTGACAGATAAGCAACAACCTATCAAGAAAATAAACATCATGCATTGTCTTGCTGGATAGCTAATGTGTCGTCCGGTGGAAGAAAACGACATTAAAATTTTGCAACTAGAGCGACATGTCGCTTACTGATAAATCATGTTACAAGATAATCAACCTGTCGTCTATCAAGAAAAAGACGACAGCAAAAAAATTAAGAACAGTTTACTCATTAGACTAGCAAGGAAATAAAAGGTTTGTTCTTTTAAGCGAAAAACTCAAAAAAAGACAACTTGAGTTATAACTTTATTCGAGTTCATGTTCTTTTAAGTTTAAACTCGAGTTTAAACTCGAGTTCAAACTCGAGTTTAGGACTAAAACTCGAGTTTAAGTTTCTCCTTCAACTCGAGTTCAGAAACTCGAACTCAAATTAATGAACAATATTTTTTTCTATTCTTAAAAATGCTATAACTTTTCCGTTTTAATTCTGATTGAGATGATTTTTTTTCTATGCGTTGACTGTTAGCCGAAATAGGATAATACAAAGAATATCAAAACTATAGGGAAATGGAAAAAACCGAAATTCATACAATTGTAAATTCAACCTTTCTACCAAACTCGGAATTGAAAGTTGCAAGGATGTCGAGGCACGTGGACCACATTTTCCTTAAAACAGATTCGTCCCCTCCGGCGTGTGCTTGAGGTCACGTTAGACGTCCGTCTCCCAGGATACAACGACAACAACGACGGTAGTTCGATGCACTTTCAGAACGGTCCGGCGAACTCAAACTAGATCTTTCCTCTATCACCAAAAACAGAACTAACAAGAAAAACCACAAAGACTTCCGAAACAAGAGAGAAACTGAGAGAGAGGAAGTGATTTCTGAAAAATTGTGTCTTCAAATGGTTGGAGAGGGCCCTTTATATAGGCTCTAAAATCTGGGTGTTACACCATGACATTATGGTGTATAAATCTGGATTTATTCTCGGATTAATGGTGCTTAATTCAGAGGTTACAGCCCCTGAAGAACGTAGTCCAATGTATGTCTTCATTCGGAAGTTAATTGTCCATTACCCAGCCAATAATGTAGGTTAATACTGCAGTTTTCCCAAATCTCACACTAATGCAGAGTTAAACAAAAACTAATGCAACCGTTTCGGATTTCTGATGGGAAAAATAAAAAGAAAAATTGCAAAATGTAGCTCGCACGGAGCGGGTTTTCCGGTCCGGTATTCGTGTCCGCAGGTCGCGGGCGCACACATTAGGCCCCAACCCTCGGGATCGTGATTCGCACCCCCCTCCTGCATGTGAGAGAGCCTTTCTGGTATACATGCTTACCTAGGCTTCAAAGTGCAATCACTTATATACACCACATTGGCTTCACTCCTAGCTAATGTGGGACTTTTGCAATTTTCTTCTACATTTACCATTCCAAGTAACATACTTAGACCATGAAGTATTCATTCACCCAAAAACCATTTTGAGTGTATGAATACTCGATTTCAATCTCCTCGCGACGGAGAACGCAAATCCATCGAGACCTGTCCCAAAAACCTATTGGGCCCCATCCGAATATGGGCCTCAAAATGGGCCTTTAAAATGGCTTAACAAGCCATTTTTCCAACATTGACAACGAAAAGACGAATAAAATTTGACCCATAAACTCTATTAAAATTTATCATCAGCATTGAGTTTTTATTATAATACTATCTAAATATAAATTTAAGTTTTGACTCAAGCACAAACTCAAAAAGATTCTTATCTCAAATCATAACTCAAATATACACAACCAAACACAAACTCAAGTTACAAGTTTAACTCAAATTATAATTCAAATTCAACTTAAAAATTATACTCAAATTAAATTCTAAAATAATAAGCCCAAAAAGTCTCCCATTTTGAAAAGGGATCATAATCATACTTTATCCGTTCGATTTAGGTGAAACTTGTCATTTTCTGAATCTTTAGTACTTTGTTCGGTATTTTGCAGATTTGCTCCGTAATTTGTAGGATTTAAGCAATTACCCTTAAAGTTTATAATTCGGGAATTTACCATCAACTTATAAAATTGTGCAATATAGCCAATTTTAATCATGATTGTGTCAAAATTGATGAAGAAAAAATATATTTGATGAGAAAAATTAAAATAAAATTGATAAAATGAGTCTCATTATAAATTTTATAAATTGAGGGATAAATTATCAAATTTTAAAATTTAGACAGTAAATTATTAAAATTCTACAAATTCAAGAAATAAATGTGAAAACATATATACTTTTTTGAACTTCTAAACTTGGAAAATAATAAAAGGTAGTACTAAGAATAGACTAATATTTAGTTTACGAGTTTAGAATTATAATTCAAAATTATTCTCAATTTATGTATTTTTTTTTTAAAAATACTGTAACGAATCACGAACCATTTTTTTTTCAAACATAAAAACGTAGTATTTATCCTAAAAAGAAAAAATAATAGAAAAAATTATTTTCGCCAGCTAGTCTTTGTCCTCTTATACTTTTCTACAGTGCTCTGAGCTTTTACTGACACACTCTGACGATACTACTAATGCACTGAAACCTCTCTCTCTCTCTCCCTCTATCTCTCTCTCTCTAGCCGAGATCGGAAAACCTTTGAATCTGGATCGGACCTCCAAGATGACGGGTACAATCACTTCCATTTCCTCAAAATCAATGGAATTTCTAAGGTTTTCCACCATTTTCATTTGAAATTGGCGTTTGTCAGGTGCAAAATCGGGTTCTCCTTCGCCGAGTCTATGGCTGGCTCCGAATCCGAGCAAAAGATGGGGAGAACTGTTCTTCCTCTGTTACACTCCCTTCTGGCTCACTCTCTGCTTGGGCATTGTCGTCCCTTACAAGCTCTACGAGGTAATTAGATTCAGACTCTGTTTGGTTCAATAGAAAACTGAAGGCAAAAAAAGTGTGTTTATTTATTTATTTATTGTTTTGAATTTGGATTTTATTGTGTTATTATGTGAACTCGTTTGCAGAGCTTTACGGAGTTGGAGTATTTGCTTCTGGGTTTGGTTTCAGCTGTTCCTTCGTTTTTGATACCAGTGCTATTCGTTGGGAAGGTCAAATTCTCGAATTAATATTTTCTTAATATTTGATTGTAATTCGAATTCATTACTTTGGTGGAAAAAGGAGTAAGCTTTTATGCCCAAAAGTTTCATGAAATCAGTCAGCTTTGTTCTCCAAAGTGACATCCCATGAAAGTTGACTTTTAAGAAATAGATGGCTTAATTCCTTTCCCTTTTTTAAAAAAAAAAAAAATTTGTTGATAAAGAAATAGATGGCTGATTAAAATAGGGGAGCTTCTCCAGTAGGTACCAGTAGCTACTAATCCAAGATTTCAATGGTTTGATATGTGAGTGTCCACGTTAAAAAATTTGAGTGTGACATAGAACTGCTACAATTACATATTAAACTGTTAAAAATATAGTCTAACCGTTAAAATAGCAATAACTACTTGTAGTTAAAAAGAACAGGTACTACCAGAGAATTTTCCTTATAGAGTGAAAATGGTTTTTGCTATTTTACATTTTGTTGATATTCTGAATCCAGTTTCCTTTTTTTTTTTTTTTTTTTTCTTTGGGGGAATATATTTGCAGGCGGATAGAAGCATCTGTTGGAAGGATCGTTATTGGGTCAAGGCAAGTGTTTTTCAGGGTAAAATTTTATTTATGTTGGGGTGAAGAGCTTACCGAACAATGAAACTTTATCTTTAGCGAGAGATTCAAGAAATGATTCATGAACGTTGGTGTCATTTAGTGTAGTTAGTTCATAAGGGAAATGCTTTAATTTATTCGCTTTAGTTTTTCTTCATTGAAGGCTCTGGTTGAGTAAATGCTTCTCTGAAACCTTGTGGACAGAGTTTGTTACCTCACATTTTCTGTAAATGTGTCTATGTTTGTTAATGATACTATCTGGTCGTCTTGTGGCAGGCTAATCTTTGGATAATCATCTTTAGCTATGTTGGTAATTACTTCTGGACACACTATTTCTTCACAGTTTTGGGGGCTTCATACACCTTTCCATCATGGAAGATGAACAACGTAGGCATTGAAACTTAAAAGTCGAGAATAATAAGTTATTTGACTACTTACTGTCATTTCTAATTGTTGTTTTTTGGTTTATCTGCAGGTACCGCACACTACGTTCCTTCTTACTCATGTATGCTTCCTGTTTTATCACGTAGCGTCGAACATGACACTACGTAGACTACGGCATTCTATTTCTGATTTGCCAGAAAAAACTCGGTGGTTCTTTGAGGCTGCATGGATTTTGGCACTGTCCTATTTCATTGCGTACTTGGAGACCTTGGCTATTTCTAATGTATGTGGGCAAACTTGTCTTCCTATCACTACTATCAGGACCCTTTTACTTAGCTATTTCTAAGTATACATAGACTAGGACCCTTTACTGATGGCTTAGTAGCAAATTAAGCCACATGAAGTGAAATGGTGCAGTTTCATTTTACTGCAGCGACATGGTTTGATTATCCCTCAGCATTTGCTGCTTCAATTTTTTCCCGAATGCTTTGGCAGCGTATACATAATCTACAGGCTTATCCATTGATATTTCTGGAGCAAAATTACTCCATGTTATGCTGTAGTCCTCTTTCAACAGCCTTCTACATACTAGAAATGGTCTCTTTTCACCCTAGAATATTTATAGCTATATGAGCAATCCCATGAGTCGTTTTTCTCAGATTTATTTTTCTAGTTGGAGAATTATAGAATATGCTTGACGACACACCTGTATGCGAAGCAAAAATGTGATCATGAGCTTTTTCTTGTGCAGTTCCCTTACTATGACTTTGTGGATCGGGCATCTATGTATAAAGTGGGGTCTTTGTTTTATGCTATCTACTTCATTGTAAGCTTCCCCATGTTTCTAAGGTAAGATTAAGAACATGAACAACTAGACTGCTTGAATTAATTTATTGTATCTTAAATGCTTGAAAAACTGTTGGGTCAATCATGTAGCTCATAGGCTATAAGTAAGCTATACTTTATAACATAGAATAATCATCTCGTCTCTGACTGATTCTTCTATTTATGAAAGGTGGTTGTATTCTGTATTTCTTGTAACATCAAATTCTGTATTAAGAGCTGTCATACCTTACATTTTTAAATATTATGCCTTGATACTTTTGTTAGTGTTTATAGCAATCAAATTGGATGTGAGTGATTTAGCAGGATAATGTTTGTTTTTCATTCATGTCTTAAGTATTTCAACGGATTCACGATGTTGTGCAGGATCGACGAGAAGCCCGGCGATCCCTGGAACTTACCCAGAGTTGCTGTTGATGCTCTTGGTGCTGCAATGCTGGTCACAATCATACTTGATTTATGGCGCATCTTTCTGGGACCAATTGTCCCAGTTCCGGAGACAAAACGGTGTCTCCAACCAGGACTCCCATGGTTCCCGCGACATTCCGATGAAACTTGACAGTGTCCGTATAAAACAACTTGGTTTTACTAGTCCAGCCGCAGAACAAACTTGAAACCAGACTCTGGAATTTCTTGCAGCTGAGGTTGCAATAACTGTTGTACCATTATAGATGACTGATGTAGCTTTCTCTTGTAAGGGGCAGCAAAATTGATGGCATGAACAAATATCCCTCTTTCCCATAACAATCCCACATTTTCGTTTCAGTTTGCTCGCATGATGATCCTCGTTGCTATCCGCAAAGCATGCTGCTTTTCACCTTAACCAAGTCCCTTCCCCTGTTCTCCCCCACGCATAAATCTAATAAGATTCAAGTACTATATACATCAAGATATGAAGCTTAAATTCAAGGACATCTTTGGCACTAGGCCATTTGTGAGAGGCCCTATTTGGCATAAAAGCTTGGAGAATTGGAAATGGAAAAAAAAAAAAAAAAAAAAATTTAAAGGACAAAACGTGTTCTATTCAGAACTTGGAAGTCTCGTTTAGTTCGTTGATTCGAGTTTTTAATTCGAGTTGAGATGTGATTTTATGTGAGCTTTTTACTGTAGTAAAAAAGTTAGATGTGATTGTTTGTGAGAGCTTTTTACTGTAGCAAAACTTGAATTCTAAACTCGAATCAGCGATATGAACGGGGCCTAAATGCCACAATTCTTCTGATCCTCTCCTAAGTTCTAACATTGGACACAACTAAAATTTTGAGGTTGTTCTTTTGTAACGAAACTCAGAAAAAGTTTAAACTCAAGTTATAATTTTATTTAAGTTCATGTTCTTTTATAAAATTTGAGTTTGAACTCGAGTTTGGAACGAAACTCAAGTTAAAGTTTCCTTTTCAACTCGAATTCATAAATTCGAACTTATATTAATAAACAATATTTTTTTATTCTTAAAAATATCATAATTTTTTCATTTTAATTCTGATTGAGATGATTTTTTTCTATGCATTCACAACGAAAAGATGAATAAAATCTCACTCATACACCCTATTAAAATTTTTCATCACCATTGAGTTTTTATTAAAATATATAAATACAAATTTAAGTTTTGACCCACCTAAACACAAATTTAAATAGATTCTCAATTCAAATCATAACTAAAATGTGCACATCCAAACACAAACTCAGGTCCCGTTCACTTCACCAATTCGAGTTTAAAATTCGAGTTTTGCTACAGTAAAAAGCTCTCACAAACAATCACATCTAACTTTTTTGCTACAGTAAAAAGCTCTCACATAAAATCACATCTCAACTCGAATTACAAACTCGAATCAGCGAAGTGAACGGACCCAACAACTTCAACTCAAGTTATAACTCAAACTCAACTCAAAATCATCACTCAAGTTACCATAACTCAAAAATACAAAAAACTATCTTCTCCTAAAAGCTTGGCTTTACTTAACTAAAACCATTCTTTAGTTCTTTGTGGCCGCATAAAATCATCTTAGGGGATGTTTGGTTGGAGGATTCAAACCATGATTTGAATCATAGTTCATGATTCGCTACAGTGTTTTCTCTCACAAAAAATACACGTAAATCAAAAATAATTCTAATCACATGATTCTAATTCATGAACCAAATGTCTCCTTAGAATCAATTTGAATATGAATTAAAAATATATATAATAAAACTTGACCAAACAAAAAATTTATCAGTGAAATTTTTTTTTTTTTTTTTTAAATTTTAAAATTGGGATATAAAAACTTGAATTTAAGACCTTGACATTAAATGTGGCTGTAGAAATACCATTAGAAGTTTAAATTCACCATCTGTTTCCTCACCACCAAAATTTTCCCAGAAACTCATAAAAAGTCTTATTTTGGAAGGATTTTATAGATAGAAGAAATATTGATAATAAATTAGGACTATCTTAAAGAATAAAGAAAATTTTGCTGTAGGACATAATTGTTTTGCCCTGCCGGTAAAGCAAGTATTCCGGCTTATAGATTATAATTTAATGGATGTTCTATGAGTAAAGAGTATTTTTGTGCTATGGCGCATTGTTTCTTACGTATAAACTCATAAATAATGACTAATAAATCATATTCTACCAGTAGGGAAAACAAAATGGTTTTCTTGAATTTTTTTTTAAATAATAATACTAATAATAATAATGATGATAAGTAAATTAGGGGTTAAAAAAGAAAAAAAAAAAAAAAAAAAAAAAACCTAAACTTCAACACGTGTGGGGGGTAAAGCACTGCCCCGCACGTGCGAGTGCTTATCATTCAATCCCACGTCTTCTTCCGACTCTTTTTCCTCTTCGGACAGACGATAAGAAAGATATTTGTGAACCGAGCCTCACAAAAAATCCTCCAAAAAAAATAAAAATAAATAACCATTCTTCTTCTCTCCTCTTTCCCGCTCAAAGCTCATAAGCTTTCTCTCTCTACAGACGAGGATTTTCTATCTAGGGTTTCGCTTTCGGCTCCGAGAATCTCCGAAACCTCGCAAACACACATGGAGCTTGAGCTTTTGGGAGGTTTCTCTTCTTTGTCTTCTTACTCATCTGCTTACAGACCACTCGTTTCCCCAAGAATGGCGGCTTTGGGTTCTCTCTCGCTCTGTCCTTGTAGTCTCCTATGGCGGCCCAAGCTCACTAAGCGTTCGTTTTCGTGCTCCGTCGGCTCTCCTAGTTCTGTAGGTGAGTGATTACTGATTACAGAGGTTGTCGCTCCAAAGGCATTTTCTTTTCTACTTGATTTCTCGGTTTCGGTGTTCTATTCCTTTGTTTGGTTGCTGAGAAAATGGAAAAGGAAATGGAGGAAAGGCATTAACTTTGGTGCTTGTTTCCTCGGTTTTCATGTTTTGTTCATTCGGTTGGTTCCTGAGAAATAGGAAAGAAAATGGAGGAAAGGAATTTGCTTTTGCACCTGTTTTTTCGTTTTTGTTTTTGTTTTCATTCGTCTGGTTACCGAGAAATGGAAAAGAAAATGGAGGAAAAGAATATAGAACGAATATCTGAAGCCTTGTTTTTGTTCCTTTTCTTAGCAGGCAACCAAAGCTAAAGCTCACCCCCCCCGCCCTCTTCTCTTCGTCATTTGTTATTCAAACGAAATCCATTAGGATGGGATTTTTTAGATGATATTGGTATAAATGGTGTGTTCTTTTGCTTCATTTTAGGTACACCTGGTTCTAGTGCACCGAGAAAAAGAACAGGAAGAAAAGAAGGGCCTAAAAAAAGTATGGAAGACTCTGTTCAGCGCAAGATGGAGCAATTTTATGAAGGGCGTGATGGCCCGCCAATTCGGGTTCTACCAATAGGCGGCCTTGGCGAAATTGGGATGAACTGTATGCTGGTTGGGAATTATGACAGATATATTTTAATTGATGCTGGTGTCATGTTTCCAGGGTAAGTTTTTTTTTTTTTTTTTTTTTCTTTTCATGCCTGAGAATATGTCTTGTTGATCATGTTTAGCATCACATGGAAAGAACTTATAGCTTTGAAACAATAATCGAAAAAATGTGAGCGATGGAATTACTTTTGGTGCCTCTTTGAAACGAGTTTTTGCGCAAAGACACTGGGGGAAGCATTTTGTATATTTCCTTCTTGTTGGGGTGTTTTTCATTTTTCAATTAGCTTTTCTTCCTTTTGTGTGTTGAGTTTGGATAGTGTCTGACTTGTATTTCAGCTATGATGAGCTTGGAGTCCAAAAGATTATACCTGATACCACATTTATCAAAAGATGGAGCCACAAAATTGAAGCGGTTGTTATTACACATGGCCACGAGGATCACATTGGTGCGTTGCCTTGGGTAAAGATTCCTTCTGTTTCTTGCAGTTAACATTTTATTTTATTTTCTTTTAGTTTTGAGGAACTTTGATATTGAACCTGTTTTCTCTATTAAGTTCACTGCAAAGTCTTTCATCCACGTTCTTTCTTCTTTTGTCTTGGTACAGAAAACGTCTAATGAAATATCAAAAATTTTGCAGTGTTACTGAGAACGGATTTGTATGATCTGCAATCCAAATAGTTTTCGTTTCTTGAAAGAATATTAATTACAGAAGCTTCTCTGAGAGATTTGTGAAGAACGTCAAAGTGACTGTGCTGCCTTTGAAGTATAGAAAATCTTAAACAGACAGATTTCTTTGAAATTGAGACTATTTTCTTTTATATTTCAAATTATGTTTGCATTTTCCTGGGAAGCTTAATTCCTTTATTTTATTATTATTATTATTATTTTGCTACATTTCTTATATTCCCCCCGGTACTTCTAAACAGGTGATTCCAGCCTTGGATTCCAAGACTCCAATATTTGCCTCATCTTTTACTATGGAGGTACTTGTTGAGGGACTTTAGTTTCTCCGATGTTTTTGAAAGCTGCAACAGTACAGAAACAATATTTTTGAGAGTGTAGTTGTAAAAGTTACTTTTGTTATGACCTATATGTCTTTTTTGATAATAAAACCTTTCCTTTTAGTAAAGAAAAAAATCTATAAAGATTCTGTTTCTGTTTGTTATGAATAACAAAATGGTACTCTACTTTTAACAGCTTATCAAAAAACGTCTGAAGGAGAATGGGATTTTTGTTCCATCCAGACTTAAGGTGTTCAGAACAAAGAGGAAATTTGTTGCTGGACCATTTGAAATAGAACCTATAAGAGTTACCCATTCTATTCCTGATTGTTGTGGATTGGTTCTTCGGTGTAGTGATGGTACAATTTTTCATACTGGGGACTGGAAGGTGACAATTTTTTACTTGTTCATTCTCTTCCTCTTCATTTCATTTCTCCAGCTGTATGACATCTTTTCTTCAACAGATTGACGAATCTCCACTGGATGGTAAAGTTTTTGACCGTGAAACCTTGGAGGAACTTTCAAAAGAAGGAGTGACATTGGTAAGCCTCTTGGTCTAGGTCTCTAGGATCGTATAACCTTTTTGGAATTTCTCAGTTTTGGCTGGGCTTGTGAATCATTTGAAGTTAGTATGAATCATTTGAAGTTAGTATGGCTTGTGAATCATTTGAAGTTAGTATGAATCATTTGAAGTTAGTATGCCTCCTGTCTCTTGAGATTGGCTTTCTTTATCTTTCTTTCTTTCTTTCTTTCTCTTTCTTTCTTTCTTTCTTTCTTTCTTTTGTTTTGGTGAGATTTTAACAAAATTGGTGGAGGTTTGTGCCTTTTGTTCTTTCCTTTCCAAAGCTTTGGTATTTTTCCACTTGGTATTTTTCCACGTAAGATTCCAATATGTTTTAACAAAATTGGTGGAGGTTTGTGCCTTTTGTTCTTTCCTTAATGAAGCTTTGGTATTTTTCCACTTGGTATTTTTCCACGTAAGATACCAATATGTTAAGATAAGAATATTTTGGTATATATGTGTGTGTGCGCGTGTGCGTGCGTCTAATAATTATCATAATCTTTTGATTTGTGTTATAACCAGATACGTTTATTCAGGATTTTCAGAAGAACTATTCTTCACAGAGAAATTATGTATGATATTATCAATTGATGCACGATATTCTTTCAGATGATGAGTGACTCTACAAATGTACTTTCACCTGGAAGGACAATGAGCGAGTCTGTTGTGGCAGATTCATTGATGAGGCATATTTCAGCTGCTAAAGGGAGGGTTATTACCACTCAATTTGCGTCAAATATACACCGCCTAGGAAGTGTCAAGGCTGCTGCTGACGCAACTGGTCGAAAGTTGGTAGGTTTCTCATAGTTAATCTTGTGTTATAATATTTCTGCTACCATTTTTTATGGTTACTTCTCACCTTAATGTTCTGAAATAAAATCTATCTGTGTATGGTCGTGATTCTTGTTTTAGGTATTTGTTGGTATGTCCTTGAGGACATATCTTGATGCAGCTTTTAAGGATGGGAAGGCACCAATTGATCCGTCAACTCTGGTAATTCTTTTCTAGTTGTCAAGTTGGATCTTTAATTATTTAAATGTTAATTCTGATGGTAAAAGTAAGAGTTACAAATAGTTTTACTCCAAAATTATATCGGGTTGAAAGATTGATTTGGCAATTGTTAATTTTCTATGTGATACTTTGTGTTAGACAGCAGAGATGTGCTCGATTCTTTAAATAGCTTTTAGAATTGTTAATCTGTGATGACATCAGTTCACATTTCAATGTAGGTCAAAGTGGAAGATATCGATGCCTATGCTCCAAAGGATTTGCTAATTGTCACAACCGGCTCTCAAGTAAGATTATCTAAATACCCTTTAGTGAATGTCCTGTCTTCTTGCAAGAGTCTTAGTGGACCAGTTTTGGTGGTTTGTAACTATGAGTTGTATGTGTCAGGCAGAACCACGTGCTGCTTTGAATCTTGCATCATACGGGAGCAGTCATTCTCTCAAACTGACCAAAGAAGACATAATTTTATATTCAGCAAAGGTAGAAAACAAAAATTTACATCCACCATTTTCTTACTAAATTTTTGAGTACATTTTTGTATAGTTTCACTTCTGAATTGAGTTGACACATACAAATTGTAGATTATTTCAATTACGTTACTTTGCTTGGATTTACAGTTATTCTTTTTCCTTCCAGGTGATCCCTGGTAATGAATCCCGGGTAATGGACATGTTAAATCGCTTAGCAGAGATTGGATCAACAATAGTTATGGGTAAGAATGAGGGGCTGCACACATCTGGTCACGGGTATCGCGGCGAATTGGTTAGTCCCTTTAAGTCAAATTTGCTATTTCTAAATTTTCAAATATGATCTGTAATCATCTTTTTGACATAATGACGTAGTATATGAGCCTGGGTTCTCTTATTCTCCTGCTTTAGGAATAGTCTCCCTGAAAATAATAATTGTATTTTTCTATAAAACTTAATTCTAAATAAGGCAGATGGGAAACTGCATGGGTCCTATGGGGTATGAGTGAGATCTTATCAGACATTATCAAAACTGTAGCCCTTGATTTAGTTTACTCGTAGAAAAGGAGAAGAATTCTTTTTCATTCACTCATAGTCATATAAAACAGTACTTTTTCATCTGTCTATTGGTTTTATGTATATTTCAATGGAGCATCTAAAGATGAACTTTATTTTTAAAGGAGGAAGTACTCCAGCTTGTAAAGCCACAACATTTTCTGCCAATACATGGAGAGCTTTTGTTCCTCAAAGAGCATGAGTTGCTTGGGAGATCAACGGGTATCCGGCACACCACTGTGAGTTGGTGCTTTCCTTGCTATAATATTTTGTAATATTGGACAACTCGAGTGATGAAACTGATACTCTAATGCTTGAACCATAGACAAGCTTTGTTCTATAATTTCTTCATTTCTTCTTTAGCATATTTACCCCTTACTTTGTGATCCTGATATCTTTATAATACAGCTAATTATCATTACGCTACAGAATCAAAATTTGTACCATGAATTTAATAACATACAGCGTTTTTATTAGGTGATAAGAAATGGAGAGATGCTTGGGGTTTCTCATTTGAAAAACAGAAGGGTTTTGTCCAATGGTTTCACCTTCCTTGGAAAAGAGAATTTGCAGGTTTGTGCCCCTTAAAATTTGCATCCGTTAATGTTGAAAATTTATCGAGAAGATTCTGATAAGGTAGTCCTGCGATGCAGTTGAAGTATAGTGATGGTGATAAAGCATTCGGCACGTCAAGTGAACTTTGTGTTGATGAGAGACTGAAAATTGCATTAGATGGCATTATAGTGGTCAGGTAGGTACACTGTTGGTCTTGGATAATCTAACGGAGTATGCATATTCCAGTTGTCTATGTAATAACATCCTGATATCTTTTCTACAGCATGGAAATTTTACGTCCCCAAAATGTGAATGGCCTGTTTGAAAATACCTTAAAAGGAAAGATAAGAATCACTACACGCTGTTTGTGGCTTGATAAAGGAAAGCTTTTAGATGCACTTCATAAAGCGGCGCATGCTGCGCTTTCAAGCTGTCCCGTAAATTGTCCTCTAAATCATATGGAAAGGACAGTGTCTGAGGTATTGAGAAAATTGGTAAGAAAATATAGTGGTAAAAGGCCTGAAGTAATTGCTATTGCTCTGGAGAACCCTACAGCGGTTATTTCAGATGAGGTCAATGCAAGACTATCTGGCAAGGCCCATGTTGGTTTTGAGGTGTCAGCATTAAGAAAATTGGTTGATGGACGTCCAAGTAAGGCTAGATCAAACAGAAAGCAAGAAGATGGAGTAAAGAGAAATACACATTTGGAAAACGATTCACAAAATTTTGGAGGTTGTTATCTCACCCTGTGTTATTTATTTTTTATTATTGGATTAATAAAACTTTGTAAATGTTATAATCCTCACGTCTATCAAGAAACAGAAAAAAAAGAAAAAAAAAAGGTTAAAGAAAGGAAAGAAGAGGTCTTTTACTTTCTTTATCTTATTGTAGTTTTCATGACTGCAGGTAAGAGTGTTGAACTCGAAGGATTACTCTCTGAGGAAGAAACAACTACTACTAGTTTCAATTCAGACACCATTCCCGCTGATTCAGAGGAGTTCTTAAAATCATTCGGAACAGTATTCCCTGTTGACGAGGTGGTGAAGGAAAACAATGGCTCCATTCTGAGTCAAGAACATATTCCAGAGCTTGAGGAGGAGGGTAATGAAAGTGTCGAAATGCCAGCTTCTAAACCCAAAAAGCCTGCCAAACGGAATAAGTGGAGACCTGAGGAGGTACTGAAGCTGATTCAAATGCGCGGAGAACTGCATAGCCAATTTCTAGTTGTAAAGGGTAGAATGGCCCTCTGGGAGGAGATATCTAGAGAACTAGTGGCTGATGGGATCGACCGGAGCCCTGGACAGTGCAAGTCTCGATGGGCATCCTTGGTTCAGGAATACGAGGTTTGTAATCCCCTTCTAAACCAACAAAAATGCTAATTATCATCACTGACCACTGGTTTTTTAAAACAGTTGATACTGACATCCAAGACACTGCGGGTTTCTAGGTCATACTATGTGGGTTCTAGATGATATGTGAATTTGTGACGGGGGGTTAAAAATATATAGTGATGATCATTAGTGATGATAAATAGCATTGCCTTTAACTAAAGTTCCTTATGGCCTGTTGTCTTGGCCTTCTTCGTTCATACCCTTCTTTTTCTTCGTTTGTTTTTATGAGATTCAAAAATTTCAATCATGTAAGTTAAAAGATCTCTTTATTGATCATCAGGAAAGCAAAAGTGGGAATAACCACAAGAATTGGCCATATTTCGAGGAAATGAATAAAGTTTTATCCGATTCGGAGGCAGTAGCAGCAAAATGAACAGGAGAAGAATCAGTGCAAGTGTTGCAACAGTATTGGGTAGCTATTTGTTCCCGTAATGCTATGACAGCAGGAAGAGCAGATGATAACTTATTTGTGAGTTTGATCATTCTGTCATGGATTCATAGCATGGAAGGCTATGAAGGGCAAAATGAAGAGACCAGAAATAGAGATTATTATCTATTGAATTTTTGCAGCTATAGGACCTCTGTACATTTTCAATTGGATAAATAAAGCCGATATATGAAATTTTGTAATAATAGGGAACAGTTTTAATCTTTTATGGTTGGTCCTCATATCTTCAATTTATTATTTTGGATAACAGAAGCATGAAATTTAATAGATTTCTTGTTGTTGATTATAAGAAATATGGATTAGTATGACGACCATTTTCAGGGTTACAAAAATAGATCTGCTCGTGAAAAATGGGTTTTTTTTTTTTTTTTTTTTTTTTAATGATGATAATCTCCTTTGCGTTATTGGTTGTCGTGTAAAGGGAATAAGCCTCGTTTTTTCTGATTGCGTGCGTAATCTGGATTGGTTTTCTTTTACTTTAATTTTTTGCATCAAACTTTTTTCTGTTTCTTTGGGTTCTTGATAATTATGCGTGACTTCAGGGTTCAACTCTCAAATTCTCCAGCTATGTGGGAATAAAACCAGAAAGAAAAGGAAGCTTCTTCCTTTTATTTATTTATTTATTTTTTGTCAATCAACATAAATTAAGGCGGGAAAGAAGTTATTGGATTACCAAATCCAAATTGTACTAATTACGAAAAATTAAACCTAAAATACGTAATGAATAATTTTGTAGAAAAGTACAGGTTCAAAGAAACTCACAAGGCGACAAAAGTTATTTCATTATATTGGCATTAATTACGTGTGCACTCACCATTTAAACAAAAAAAAAAGGAAATCTCATAAAGGTTCGTAAATTTAGCCGCCACCGACCCGCACTTGGACGTATTATTCTCAAACCAAACAAAGAAAACTATTCTGTATTTGCCTTTCAAAGTTGAAAGTCAGTTTTCTATTGTTGACCTTTAGATATTACTCTTTCAAGGAAAAAAAAAAAAAAAAACCTCAATATTTTTATTCATTTTGTCCGTGTATTCGCCGTCAATATATTTTCCTCAACACAGCCACAGGATGCTGGCTTTTGAAATTTTTGTCCCTCTTTTTAATTTTGAAGACTTGCAACATTTCCATTTTCTTCTTCGAAAAATCCAATCAGTTTCTGCGTAGCATCACAGATGGTTCAGAATAACGCGTGTTACAAACCTTTATATATATATATATATAGGATTCATCATCGCAATGTTTTACACAATCCAACATATATCATATACAATAATTAGTTATAAGGTCATATAATCATATATATCTTGTAATTATAATAACATGGGCAAGCACGTAGAGTACTTAGAACATGTTTTCCACTACTTTGACGAAGATGGTGATGGAAAGATATCACCCTCGGAGCTGAGGAATCGGCTAGGGTTGATGGGTGGAGAGGAGCTTATAGAGCTTAAGGAGGCGGAGGAAGCGGTGGAGTCGTTGGATTCGGACGGCGACGGGCTCTTGGGATTGGAGGATCTTGCTCGTTTGATGGAGTTAGGAGGAGGAGAGGAGGAGAAAATGAAGGATTTGAGAATGGCTTTTGAGATGTATGATGTGGAGGGAAAAGGGTTCATAACGCCCAAGAGCTTGAAGAGGATGCTCAGTAGATTGGGCGAATCGAGATCCGTTGATGAGTGCAAAGTCATGATCAACCATTTTGATTTAAATGGAGATGGTGTACTTTGCTTTGAGGAGTTCAGGATTATGATGCAGTGATGTATATATATGTTGATCATGATTTTATGATAGTGATTAGTTGTTTCTAGCATACATGTCAATTTCTTTCCGTTATTAGTTATGGATTATGTGTGTTTCCATCGATATTTATTTTATTAATTGAGAAGCTTGTTAAAATGATTATCTTAAAAAGTGGAATTAATAAAATGACATTTTTTATTTTACACTTAACCACCACTCGATCGGTTGATGAGTGCAAAGTCATGATCAACCATTTTGATTTGAATGGAGATGGTGTACTTTGCTTTGAGGAGTTCAGGATTATGATGCAGTGATGTATATATATGTTGATCATGATTTTATGATAGTGATTAGTTGTTTCTAGCATACATGTCAATTTCTTTCCGTTATTAGTTATGGATTATGTGTGTTTCCATCGATATTTATTTTATTAATTGAGAAGCTTGTTAAAATGATTATCTTAAAAAGTGGAATTAATAAAATGACATTTTTTATTTTACACTTAACCACCACTCGATCGGTTGATGAGTGCAAAGTCATGATCAACCATTTTGATTTGAATGGAGATGGTGTACTTTGCTTTGAGGAGTTCAGGATTATGATGCAGTGATGTATATATATGTTGATCATGATTTTATGATAGTGATTAGTTGTTTCTAGCATACATGTCAATTTCTTTCAGTTATCAGTTATGGATTATGTGTGCTCTCGTCGATATTTATTTTATTAATTGAGAAGCTTGTTAAAATGATTATCTTAAAAAGTGGAATTAATAAAATGTCATTTTTTATTTTACACTTAACCACCACTCGATCACGTAGTTTAAAAAATAGTCACATAGTGTAATTTTGAAATTATTTTACGAACTAAGATTTTGATAAGACTCTATCCATTGACTTAGAAATTGAACACATATGAAACTCTATTGATAATCTAATTGGAAAGATTAGAAAGAAAATTTACACACCCGGCTTAGGTTGAGATTCTAGAGACTCCCTACCTGAGATTCGAGAGACTACCCACCTCTCTCAAGGTTTTTCCAATTTCCCACTAATCATTCGCCCCCCAACACACACACAAAAATCAAGATATGTTGTCTCATTTTTCTGTTTCGGTGACTGTCACTCTAATTACATTTTGACACATTGTAAAGTGGTCAAGTATTTTTAGTATTTTGTTCCTATTTTTATGATTAGATTTCTAAATTTAGATGACGCGGTAAATAATTAATAGAGAGAAGCTACTGAGAAAGAAGAAGTGGAAAGCATATATGGACTCCTAACACACTACTAGGCCGTTCTAACAAACTATTTACCAACTGCTTAAGAGAAGACCAACCATAGCAATAACTAACCAATTACCTAACCAATCAACTTTAAAGTTCCTACCAAATTTTGGAGAATTTACTTATGAAATTTCTTACAAGTCATTTTTTACTAATAATTGTTACATATCGTTTCCATATCTTAAGAAAGAATAAACTTGAAAGTACTTTCAAGAACTGAGAAAGAGTCCAAGGCTTTTAAGATAAATTAATTTCGGAATTCTCTATTGAAATTAAAATCAATCACTACAAAACAGCTTAAACAATGAGGCACGTGTACAATCATCTGCTAAAATTTCAAACAGTTTTAGAAAGTAGACACTACGGTACTAAGCTAAACCACCTGCTAACTAATGATTATGACTAACACCATAAATTTGCTGACTCAAGTTTTGCTGTTCCAACGGAATAGTGTGCGTTTGCTTTTCCATAGCTGGTTAATTACACAAGCAAAGGCCCGAGTAAATTGTCAAAAAAAAAAGGACCACATGTTGAATATACTAGTTCACATGGAAAATCAGTTTTTAGTACTTTCAGTGTGTTTGGTAGGATGTAAAAGAGAGAGGAAAGAAAATAGATGAATGATTTTGTAGAGGAAAATAGAATTTTAAGTTGTTTGGTAGAGTGGAAATGAGGAGAGAAGGAAAATAAAAATTCATGGGACTCACCAATTTTTAATCCTTCTAACTTTGGAAAGAAAAGATGAGGGAAAAAATTTGACCAAAAATGAGATGTAAAATAACAATTTTAACATTCACTATTCATCATATTTTTATTTGTATAGGGGTATTATTGTAAAATGTCTTAAATTTGACATTTTATTTTCATTTTTCTTTCTCTTCTACCAAACAACATGAGAGAAAATCATTTTACTTCATTCAGCTATGTGTTTTACGTATCTTTCCTTCATCTTTTCTATCAATCCTACCAAACATAGCATTAGTTCAGGGTAATGGAGTTGATAGAAGTGTTTGAACCGAACATTCTCTAATGGAGTATGCTACAGAAACATGATAAAGGATTCATGAAATTCCGGTGAGATGTAAGAAATATGACGAATTTTTAAACAGAATTATACAAGGTTATATGGTAAATCAAAGAAAATTGAAAAATGGTCTTGATATTGCCTTGTAGCTGCTTATAATATAGTGATAGTTGATTATGTACATAACCATTGATGGTTTCGTATTACAAATGATCTATCTTTGTTTCTCTCATGCAACGAGAGATAGGAAAGTTCGTGCTTTTTGCATATTGAAGCGTCAACTACTTAGGCCCCGTTTAGTATATCAGAGTTTTTTATTATGACTTTTACAAGTTAAATTTTTTTTGAGAGAAAAACACTATAGTAGAACCAAAACTTGGATTTTGTACTGTAACAGAATCCATATACCAAACATCACCTTAATCAGAATGAGTTTGGAAAATGCTCTTCATACTGATATTTGTTTCAGGTAGTCAATGATATAAAGCATGGACACTCTTTTTTCTCGTTAGTTTTGTCCCACTGGATTTTTTTTACAAAGATTTTTAGTGAGGTTTATTAGGAAAGGCGAGCATGAATGGAAAAGTTTCAACTCGACCTAATAACCTCACCATTATTCAGCTTCTGTTTCTGACTAGAAACTGATCGTTTTTTTATGTTTGTAGAGAACACTTGAATTGTATAACTTTTTTGGATTATTGACTTTTTGCTTACATGCTGGGGCTATCAACTTGGCTTTGAACTTTTTGTTCCTATGATTTATTTAAGTTTGTAACGCGAATAAAAAGTTATTTTTTAGATTGATGTCAACTGTAATGTATCTAAAAGATCTTTGTATTCGATCTTACTTGATTTATTAAAAAAATTAAAATTGACCCCTTCTTATCCTCTAATTTTTTAATCATTAATTATCTTCTTTTGAACTAATACAGTAATATGCAAGTAAATTGATTTAGGAAGATATCAATTTGTACATCTATACTTAATTCTTTTGATTCTATGTATGCAAATAAGGTTTTTTTTACTGTTTTTTTTTTAATGCATTTCCATATATTTTGTTTTTTCCTTTTTATATATTTGCTGGCCCAATGTTTTCTGCAGAAATTTTTGTGTTATCATTTAGTAATAATAAAATGATCAGTAAGAAACCAAGGAAAATAAAACTTCGATTATAAAGGTCATGCAAAACTGTTTTTAAGTTTTATTCCTTTCGCATTTTTTTTCACCTTAAAAGCATTACTAAGCTCAAACCCTGGTTAATGCTTTTCTGGAAATTTATTTCCTTCCTTATTTTTCCCCCCTTTTTGCTACTAAGATAAGAAGAATGTTGAACGTTAAGTTGCTGCTAGTGTCTCTCGCGTATAAAACGAGATGTCGTTTCCAGAAAACAAGGTTTTCGTCGTTCGACTGAGAATAGCATGCAGTTGTCTATGCTAAATTTTGTCACCGTCCAACCCAGAGTTATCTAAATTGATGCTAAAAAACTTTTACACCATGCGTGTTAAACATTGAATTTTCAGAAAAGGAAAATAACACTAATAAAAAGGAAAAAAAAAAAAATGTTTTGACATTGTGAGAACTTGAAATGAATGTCTAAAAGAAATCAACTATTATTACAATTCAAAAAGAATACATATTTCACAGTAAATAAACCATTAATAAGAATCGATTCAAAAAGGTAATGGCACATCGACAAATGGCTGAGTCGACGAAATGCAATCACGATTTGCTTTGGGATACACACTCCAACAAGGAACGGTAAGCCGATATATCCTCGGGGTCGATGCCCAGTTCCTTAAGGTTGCGGCCATATTCCTGGTGAAAAGACATCAAACAACGATGGAATAATTTGCTTGTTATAAAATCTTTTTAGGGGAAAAAAGGAGTGTATTTTGCTAGCTAAGAACTGAAGATCCACTCAAATTTTGGACGGAGACAAGTACCTGAATGTCAAGTTTCAATTGCTGACAGATCTTGTAAGTGTCCGACACGTTGTTATCCGAGATGTCTGAGCTTGCTCCGGCACGCCTTTGAGCACCTTGTCGTATTCTCTGAAGTGAAGACTCTGTTTTCCTTGCCTGAATGTGATAAGAAATCAAGAATCAAGAAAGAAAGAAAGAAAGGAGGAGAAAAAAATAATAATAATAAAAAGAAAGCAAGAGGAAACACGGAACATTTTCTAGAGTTTTTGGGAATTAGGATACTAACCACACTAACAAGATCAGCAGCTAACTCATAATAACGACTGGTGATCTCTTTTGCAGCACTATCTAGCAGTTCCTTCTTCACTTCACTCGTTAAATAAGTAGCAGCTCGGTCTCCACGCAAAAAGGCCTGGGAGGTGTTGATAGTTCAATTTGAAATTTATAATTGGTAATTACACCTATATATTGTTGATTGCCGGAATAGCGTAGGAAGGATGAAGTTTGCCACAATCTGTATAATTGTAGGTTTGCTTTTATGGCTGATATGTTAGTGAACTAACCACCTTTTAGTTCCACCTAAAATCTAGAAAAATAAATTAAAAAGAGGAGTATGAGAACAACCGTCCCTTGAAAAAAGGATTAACAAAATCCGATACCTAGATATACACCCGCAATAAACACTAGTACCCTATACAAGTAGGGAATATTATGTTAACACCATCCGCAACATTCTTAGGTCTAAGATCTATCATTGAGCAATGTTATTTAGCACTATATATACTAAATCATAATTTCACTTGGCTAACAACTAATGGTCACATTATTTACTTTCGGTTGTGACAAGATGCACTTCATACTTGGTTATACAGTAATATAACTAATCACGTTTCAATATCCTTGAGTTATGCAGCATTTTTCTTGCATCACCAAATGGCAGGTCAAAAATCATAAAATTAAGATTTCCATTTAAAAAGTGGGATGACGAGAGGTTACAAAGTAAATTAAAAGACATGTACCTCCAGGGGACGCAATACCGCTGCCACATAAGGTGAGTGCCTGGTAGGAATAGGTTTATTTGTCATCCTGTAAGTTGCAGTTATTCCCTTAAGCTGTCTCAAATCCTACAATTACAAGAACATTCAAGTTAAATTTTTGCACTCACAGGAGAATAACCGATCGTTCAGATCATAGCATGGTTGAAAGAAACCCAGACTGAAGCTCGCCTCAACAGACTTCTCAACCAGCGTCTCTACAATTGTGTTGATAACTAGAGGTACTAAATCAGTCAAGGATTTTCCACTTTGTAAAATGCTCTGTTTTACAAGATCAAGAACGTCACTGGGACATGAAGAAAGAAGCTGAAGAACATGTTGCAGGTAGTCTCCACAAACCTCTGTCGCCAGACAATTTAAGTCATGAATGATCTGCAATAATCATAATTTCCATTAATATGGTTTGTGGATGATCATTTCATTCTTGAAACGAGAGGACTACTAAATACAATTTGTAGCAAGTTGAAACTTGAAATTTAGACAACACCCTTGAGTTTCTATTATTGTTCATTTCATTCTTTGCTAATTCTATAAATGAATCGAGAGGACTACTAATTAAAATATGTAGCAAGTTGAAACTTGAAATTTAGACAACACCCTTAAGTTTCTATACTGTTCTTTGTGCAAATATCAAAGACCAGAGAATCAAAAGATAAGGCACTTCAAAATCACAAGAAATTCTACCAAACTAAGAAAGGACACATACATACATATACAAAATCATCTGGGACAGCTCTAACAGCCCACTCCCCTCCACTGTTGGAACTTGTGTTGTTACTCGACTTACGAGCAGCCAGTCCAGATGATAACCAATTTGAGTACCTATCATAAATCCACAAGTAGGCACTTAAATGTTAATATGACATGAAAAGGCTTAAAACAAAACAAAGAATGGAGTATCCAAGTTCCTATCTGAACTAACCTTGAGAGAAGCTGTAAGGATAAGCGAAGAAACTTGTCAGCACTAGAAAGGACAAGAACGTCATCTCTCCAGCAGGATTCTAAGCAAATTAACAAAGCAACACTTTGTTTCAAGGTCACATCTCCAGAATCCTGAACAGGAGCAAGGCTGGCTGCCACTAGTTCAGAATCCAGAGCACCTGCTATTTCCTGAAACCTGAGGCAATTCTAGTATGAGAAGAGTTGATACTGATTCTGGCAGACATCTAAAACAGAGCTTGTACGGAAATTACCTTAGAGAGAAATAAACCCCAATATTCCACTGCTTTATGAACTCAGTATAGACAGGTTCAGCTCGAAATTTGGCGACAGCAGATCTGGATGGAAAGTAGCCTAGCACGATGACACATGGATGTTAAATTATGATAAATGAAACATACCATTGCATACATATAACAGTAAGATCCAAGACGAGCACTTAAATAATGCATTGCAAAATAGGTCTGTCTTAGTCGTAAAACGTGATGACATAATAGAAAATATGGTTGATAGTCAGTTCATCACTACCTTCAAGATGAGCCAAGAAGTCTAGGCTTGATTTGTAATTTTTCAAGAATCCTGTGGGCCTTCCTGGGGAAAAGGCACCAGGTTTTCCCTTTTGAATTGCCAAGAGGACTTCTTTCAGGATTGAATTGGCCAAGAAGTCAAAGACATGCAAACCTGAATTTTCTGTAAAACAAGCATCACAACAATTCATAAAATATTTGTCTAGACGAAGTTCAGTCACATATATAACACCATGAAACTTTTCTTTTGTCATAACTGATTAATTATTAAGAAGGAGATGAAAGTACATATCCTTTTGATATATATGGGAGAGTAAGGCTGGCAAAACATTAGGCAAATGGTGTTCCTTTTCATAGAAACAGCAATACATTCGAAAGAATACTACAAAACTTCATAGATTTGGTTCATTGATCAGTTGATTCACACAACTGCTGCAGGAAGATCATATAACATGGACTAAGAGTGCAAGAACAATGCGAACAATTAATAGAGGGGAAAAAAAAAATAGCACCTAAGGATGACAGAATTGTAAAGAAGGAAAATACGAAATGAAAATTTTCGCTAATCTGACTGAAGAAAAATAGAAATATCAATACCTTCAAAAGAAATTTCCAACAAAAATTTACAGTCTCTGTCAATACATTGCTTGATCTGCAGATAATCATTCTCAAGATCATCTGATCCAGTAGCCACTGCCGATGGCCCATGTGGAATAATTTTCTGTATCAATGGGGCGACAACAGTAGTACGGAAAATTTCTTCTGCACTCCTAGTGTTATCAATGGAAGCATATGCACGTAAGCAATTGTAAATTGCATTTGCATCTCGGTGCTCAAGTCCATCTACAAAACAGTGTCCCAAGCTAGCATCTAATAATAGGCTGGCACTTTGAATTCTCTTCTCCATGTTCTCAATGAAAGGTAGGTTCTGTACTGGCAAAATAGAGAAAACCAATGAGCAGAGAACATACAAATCAACATGAGTAGGTCATGTGCAGGTCCCAAAGGTACAAGTATCCATGCCCATCCTGACAAAAAATTGGCTGTTTTATACAAAAGGATAGATTCCAAGACAAGGTTCAAACGATTAAAAACCGCAAAAGAATATAAACAAAAAAAGTCCACTTCAATGGAACTAAATCATTGGCATCTTTCCATTCTAAGAGAGCAAATGCATTTTCAATCTTTTAGTTGCATTTTCAGCCATCCATGGAGACATCTAGATATTGAACCGAAAATGGGCAACTGAAGAAACAACAAACAAATGCTAGTCAAATATTTGCCAACATTCTACACCAAAATTGATGTGAGACAGAGAGAGAGAAAAGAAGACCTGTGCAGGAGCTATGTAGAACTTTAGCCGATTCATCTCACTAGCAATTCTCTCCAGAAGCATGCTTTGAGTTTCTCTTAAATTTGTTCCACTTTCGGCATGCTGCAAGGAGGTCCCGTTGCTCAATGAATTCTTCTCTGCCAAATTGTCATCTCCATTTGACCAATCAGATGGCACAGTAGGCAGCTCTTTTATCAGTTTTTCAACCTATACCCATGAAATAATTCGTATGAACTCAACAGCAAAGTTTAAGAGTATCAAGTTCTGGAGGAATCAAGAACATTCCAATACAGATCTAATATGTGATCTTGCACCACACAACAACTCAACTTTACACAATTACTAGACTAATTGAGCATAATTTCCAATATTTCTAACAGAGCTACCCTGCAAAAAGGAATTATCAGAAAAGTTTTCTTCTTGCAAATCTCACGAACAGAGCAGAGAGGGGTCCATAATAACGGATAGTAAACGCAACAAAATTATATACAAAACTAAAACATTCACGAAACTATTAACTATCCATTTGTTATAGCCATGTCTTATGCATTTCAGCTCCTTGGAATATTCTTTTTTTCTCGTTCTTTATGACTGATTTATGGAAATTCAATTCAATTTCAACTTTGGAGCTAATAATATAAAAAATAAGAAATAAATAAACAAATAAATAAATAAATAAGCCTTCGAAGAACGAAACCCAATTTCCTATTAATCACCTACTCTTAATTTAATTCCACAAAATGCAGCTCAAAGATTGCTAAGCTCATGCAATACGAAATCTCAAGTTCTTTTTTTGGGAAAAACGTAGAAACAATTACAGACATACCTTAGAGACGACATGAAACGTATCGAGCAAAAGCTCCAAGACCTCTCTGGCTGAGGCGGCATCCGATCTCTGCTTCAATCCGTTCTTCAAAGCCACAAGCGCGCCTTCCACGGAGCCTCTGAACTGCTCGATCTTCTCTCGGAGCTCCACCAATGGCGCTCGCATACGCACCACGGCGGCGTCCACGTCGACAAGCTTGGTGCTAAGGTTGACAAAGTCAGCGTAATCGCGGTTGATGAGGTCGATGAGCTCGTGGTTGAGGGACGATAGGTAGCTCTGGAGCTCGGATCGGAGAGTGTCAAAGGGAACGAAGGTTCGGAGCTCCGATATGTAGGATTCGGAGTCGAAATTTGGTGAGAGGAAGAGCTCGGGCTTGAACCATAGCGGATGGCCGTCGAGCGGGTCCGCGAAGAGGTCGGTGGCAGATCTGGGCAGCGCCGAGACCGCATCTGCCATTGGACCTGGATTTTGCTCTGTAACACTATTTTCCTTCCCGCTGTTTGGTTGGCGAGAAAGTGCAAGAATATTTTAGTCGCGCACTCTCAGAAACCGACGGTTTATCAGTCAATCGATTAACAATTAAGCTACAATGGGGAAATGGCAATTGTAGAAGATGAAAACAGATTCTGGATCGGGTTTTCCGTTTGTCGTAAGTTATATCCAGGCCCAAGGGTTCTAATGGATCTTAATGGGCCCATTTGATGCTACGTTGAAGCTCCAATCCAAGTGCTGAGTTATGTGGGGTTGTTTTAGAAAATGGTGAAATTTTAAGGGTGAATTGAAAGAATTACCAATTTTACTTTTAGAGAACTGGTATATTGAAATAAAAGTAATGTTGTGAATAACCAGACTTCACACAAATGCCCAACCACGATCTTTTATTGATATTTTCCAAACAAAAAGAAAACATTCTTGCAGAAAACATCATACCAGCACATGTAGCAAATTTTGAATATCAAAGTTTAAATTTAGCAAAAAATTGGAAATATTACAAGAATAGCAAAATTTTATATCATTATATAGTACAAAATATGATATCATTATTATGATAATTACTGTGTCATTTTTGCTATATTTGTAATATTTTTATAATTTTGTTAAATTTCAACACAAGGTCTTGTAGTGTAATTACCACAATAGAAAAAGGTATGAAATGTGCCCCTTTTAACCCACTTCTAAGGTTTGTGCCCTTCTCTCCGAATTTCATCTAAGGTAATATTAAAGGGAAAAAGTGAGAGCAGAAATCATTAGTCTTTAAGAAATGATATAAATCTTTATGCGCATTCACTAGACAAACATTCCTATATGTATCCCCTTAGAATTCCTCTAACAATATCATACCAACATACTTGTAGTAGCCCACAGATGACCAACAATATTCTACCATGATATTACAGGATACTGAAAATCCGATTGTTGACAAGTATCTGGTTTTCTTACTTTAGTACCCCAAAAAAAAAAAAAAAAAACACGCAAAAGTCACCCCATACGAAGGTTATCTCTCAAAGCTTACGTTGTTGTGGTACTTGGCAATGTCGCAAATTCCGGTGTAGTCAAGTTCTGATCAAATCTGACGATGATAAGGGTGTTCAAAATTCGACGATAAAAATACCTCGTGAATTTTAACTAGATTTTAGGATCTCCTCGTGGCAAGATCTTCGTAAAGAGCATTATGGGACTACTAATCTTCTCGTAGGAAGATATTTTTCTTCGAGCTCCTATGGATGATGAGGTCTCTAGCACCAGAATTTAATGGTGGTGCATCACAACAAGAAAGAGGAGGGAAAAGAAAGACAAGGCATTCTATTAATGTAGGAAAAGATTACATTTAATGCTAGAGCCTTTTAGGAGTGGCAAAACTCAATCCATAGTTTAGTTAAAAGGGGGAACTCTATAGTCTACAAGCTCACGGGTGAGCGGAGCTCACCATCTATCCCGGCAAGCTCGAGCCTCACCAAGCCCATATGCTTTTCGGCATTACTTAGTGCTCGGAGAGCCCTTATGCTTTTTTTGTATTTCTTTTGATTTTCTAAGTACTGCTAGAAAATAAGGACACCAACTCTGAAACTAATTTTGAGTCCATTTAGGGCATGTTTAATTTGTTAATTCGAGTTGAAATGTGACTTTATGTGAACTTTTTACTGTAACAAAAAAAGTTATACGTGACTGTTTTTAAAAACTTTTTACTGTAACAAAAAAGTTAGACGTGACTGTTTTTAAAAACTTTTTACTGTAACAAAACTCGAATTATAAACTCAAATCGGTGAAATAAACAAGATCTTATTATGGTAAAAAGAAAAATGGTATTCTAGCGTTATTGCCATCCCGTTTGTAAAATCCAAGCAGATTTCTGGGAAAAGCCGCAAAATAATGTTAATTTCGTCCTAATGTCGTCGTCACGGCTGTCAATTTATTTTTTGAACTATGACTTGCGCGCAATTTGGCATAAGACCATTGTTTGATAACTCACGTTTATTTTAGCGAGGGTTGGGAATTGCATCGTGACATGAAAAGGATAGAAGGCAAACTGGCAGTAATTATCCAATTGAAGAATGTACCTTCTCCAATTTCCACACCTTGGATCACTCCATAAAATAAGCAACAACACGAGTATTACAACACTCTCTCCCCTTAAAAGACTTATATTTAAAATACCATTCGCACGAAACTTTTATCAAAAAAAAAAAAAAAAAAAAAAGAGAGAGTCTGTGTTGAGATTTTAGCTTTTATTCTCCATTAAGATTTAGAATTAAAAAAAAAAAAAAAAACACAACATATGTATGAATAGGGTATATAAACGCCAAATGTGTAAGGTAAGCAAATAATAACAAAACAATAATGGGAATGATGCACAAAAATTATGAACTGCCTACCATAGAAAGAGTTGAAACAAATAAGCAACGTAATCAGCCTCTAATATACATGCATGCTTATACATACATCCGAAAAATGAAAAAACCAGTCAGGGTCGCTGTTTATTATCTCCAATTCTCACAAACTCTAAAGAGAATAATGACTATGAATATATGCATTTGTTTCTTTCTTGTTTCTCTCTGATGTGAATAATAAAACTTAGATTTAAAGGACATGTTCTTTATGTTGTTGGCAGCAAGAGGATGGGGAACAAAACACGAGCAGTAAAGCCAATGAAATTTTTAGGAAGGCTTCACCCTTTTAAACCGCCACCCTTAAACTAAAAGGATACAAAAACTAAGCTTTAGAACTTTTGTGTCTCATTTTACAGACAAAATGGTTCTCCAAAATAGCCCTAAGACGCGGGGAAAATTTACTTTGACACGGGCCTCGGGAGAAGCCTAGAAAATTATAAATATTAATATATAAAGGAAAATGAAAAGAAGAAGATGAAGAATTGAGAAATAGGAAAAACCATTTGTACATAGGAATTCTTCACATGAAGTAGCTGAGAGCCTTCTTTCTTCTAGAACCCCCTTCACCATATAGTTCATTCCATTGCAAAAGCTCCGTCATGTTTACCGACTCGGATGAAACACTAGCACATACCTAAAGAGAAATGTAAAAGACTAGATGTCAAAAAGAATCCAACAAAAAATATAAAAAATGGCCAAAGGTTTCAGTTCAACAATGATGCAAGCACGATGATGATTGATTCTTAATTACCCTTTCATGAGCATATTTGAAATCCTCCATATTTAGAGGACGTATATCTTCACTGCCACTCAAAGCTGGTGCAGGTTTACCTTCTGCTAGAGCTGCTGCACGCTCCTGTTATCAGTTTACTACATCAGATCAAAGTAGAAAAGCTTATATAAAGATCCATCTGGTTCTGAAAACTACCAACCAAATTTCCCATATCAAGTCAGGCTTTAAAACAAAATTAGTTTCTGAACCTTTAAAAGTTGACCAAATCTTTTGTTCAGCCGCCAGTTGTCATTATGAAAAATAACACGAGAATGGCATTGGCCAAAAACAACGTTCATGTCAATGATTGTGACTAACAGGCGGGAACTTTGTGAGAGAAGAAATTTTTGAATTCAAATTCTTTGTGAGATGCTTGTTATTTGGACTAAAGAAAGGAACACTGTAACATAATCAAAATCACGGGTTCAAGTATAGAGACCAAACCGGGCTTAAGGGTTGCTCTAATGCTTGATATTTGGACTAAAGAAAGGAGAAACATACCTTTTTCTCCTTTTCCAAAATCTCTTTGATTGGACGGTGCGCAGCAGTTACACACAGATTCTGCAATGGGCGAACCTCATTATAGTAAAACACGTTTATAGTAAAAACATCATATGGCAAGAAAAATTTCTGGAAAACACTAGCCAGAAAGTAGAATATGTGTAACCTTGAGATCGCTTCCTGAATATCCATCTGTCATAGTCGCAATTGCATCAAAATCAACACCAGAAGATAAATCCTCTTTTGCCAAGATAACTTTTATTATCTTTGCTCTATTGGGAGCATCAGGCAAATTTACCATCAGTCTGTAGAAACACACGTTAAAAAATTTCACATCAACTATGATAGCAGATTACAAAGAAAAGTAAAACATCGAAGAGCAAGGCAAGAAATGAGTAGTTATTGGAGCACACACAAATGAAAGCAAATGCATATAGACAAGCGTAAATCTATGTAATATAATGTTTTACCTGCGCGGCAACCTTCGGATGACGGCCTCATCAAGGTCAAATGGCCTATTTGTAGCTGCAAGCACCAGGACACGCTCTGTATCTTTTGTTCGTAAACCATCCCAGTTTACCATAAATTCATTTTTCATCTTACGCATAGCCTCATGTTCCCCTGGGTTTTCTCTTCGGCCCAACATGCTGTCAACCTATGAGAACCCAAGAAAAGATTATCGTAAAAGTAATACAACGTGAACAATACATGTACATATAATACACAATACATATACATATATACTCTATATACATCAGTGAACAAAGGACCCTTGAAAACTTACTTCATCAACAAATATAACGCTTGGGGCAATTTTACTAGCCAGCGAGAAAACAGCTTTCACATACTTTTCACCCTCACCAAACCACTGCATAAAGAGAGGACAAAACAATTTTAGTTTTAATGAGATGCAATCAGCATGGAGGTTCCATCACCACAAACATTTATTAGAGTTGGAGACCTTTGATGTAATGCTAGACATGGATATGTTGATAAAGTTTGCACCAGCTTCAGTAGCCACGGCCTTTGCAAGCATCGTCTTACCAGTTCCAGGGGGCCCAAATAATAGTATGCCCTTGCAAGGCTGCATATACAGGCAAAAACACATAATTGGAGGGAGAAATTGATAGGTACCTGATCTTAACAATAAGAATGTGAATGAAAGAGAACTATTAGTGATGAAATCACTCGTACATGCAATAAGGAAACCCCAACTGAGATAGTATTCGAGAGACTATCCAACTCTCCCATCGTGGTTTCCCAAACACCAAATGAATTCCCAAATAATCTGACCACCCCTCTAACTCCTATTTCCTCCTTTTTATACTAGTAACCCTCTTCTAAGCACTACTAACACACTACTAACTGTACTCTAACATCCCACTAATCAAACTAACTTCCCAAATTATTAAAGGATCCTGACAGAAATCACATTACTTGAGCACAAACATCAGTCTGGGCCTTAGGGCACTGTGAACCACGCTATAATAACCTAAATGTAAAACCTCCTCAACATCTAAAGCAGTCTAAACAAATAAACCAAAGATGCATTAAGCAAAAAAGGTAGGAATTACCTATAACACACTAAACTTAAGACGAAGACGCATAATTTTTATAAGTGTTCAAACCTTGGTCAATTGCCCCTTGCAGAAAAGTTCAGGCCTTTGCAAAGGAAGCATCACCAGTTCCTTCAATGTATCCTTAACATTCTCAAGAGCCCCAATATCATCAAAAGTGACTCCAATATCACTAGGTGGAATGACGTCTGCTAGAAGCCTTTTCTCAAATTCATTTTCCGTCACAACATCCTGATTTCCGCAGAAGGAAAAAAAAAAAAGAGAGTGAAGAGGAGGAGAAAAAAGTCAAGCTGATGTTTCTTACAATAATGAAATTCTAATATCAGTTCTGACAGATAAACCTAGCTAAAAGGATAAAGTCCAGCTCAAAGAGAAACTATTACCTTGAGTGATTTCTTCAAGCTCTTAGATTCATTCTGGATCGCCTGTAGCATTCCAATTCCGTACTGGATGCTGCCAGAATTGCAATTACAACTGTGTCATATACATCCAGTGACTAATATTTCAGCTAACTATTACTCAAATTAAGACCAGGAAATAACCTATCAATTACCTCTCACTAGACAAAGCAAGTCTCGCTTCAGGATCAGCCTCAGGGTTCTGCATGAGATGATGACTTAAAGCCCATCCAACTACTTTTTCTGCACCTACAAAATATGACGAATTTTACAAAAAAAATTAGAGGACAAAAAATAAAATAAAATAAAATGCTATTAAAGAACATTATACTATAAAATAGAACTTACTTTCATTTGTAAGTGTTTGATCCTTGATGCATAATGTCTCAAGTCCGTCACATTCCACTCCAGTCCGACCCAAAACCTAGACATAAAAGTAAACCGTAATTGATATTTCCATATAACTCATCGCCTCTTCAAAGTTCAAACAGGGATGATAGAATATAAAGTAAAAACAGTTAAGAACTTCTTAAGAATAATACAGATCTTTCCTAGATGCAAACAAGGTAGCTGCTCCCACTCCCTATCACTTGGAATGCTTTACTTACCTAATAAAGAAAATTCTATGACACAACAAAGTACTCTAAAGCCAAGTGTTATGCATGTCTGTGTCCATGCAAATATTTACGAACATAATGTGCTTAAACCGTGAGTTTATCTTTCCACCATATTTTTTAATGACCAAAGCCCCACCTAGCAGAAAATAGGAACTGAAACTTTTTAAGTTTTAACCATGGACCACAAAATGTAGTGTTACACAGTATCACCCCTACAGCAAAACAAAATTCCAATTGGTATATAGAGCAGAAGAAAAGGTCCTCACAGTGCGTAGGTGATTTAGATTTCCTTTCATTTTAAGGGTTTCAGCGTCTCTATCCAATTGTTGCTTCCATGAAACAAGAAGTGCCTCATCCTGTAACCAGAAACAAGCATAAAATTATCCACTGCCAGCGAGAGAGAGAGATGAATGGTAACCTTATTGGGGAAGAGCTTGGTGAGGTGTTTTGTTGCCTTCGGAACCTCCTTCCCTCTATCATGAAGTCTTCCAAAACTATCCTGAGAAATTTAGAAGACGTTAACACCATGATCTCAGACCTACTCAAAAGTTAACAACAGAAAAGGTTGAAAACAATAGTCTTATGAGCCATAATCATTACCGGAAAAGCCAAGTCAAGAAGAGCAGTTTGGTTGCTGCCGAACTTTGTGAAGAGCAGACCACCGGGATGTGACTAAGAAAAAGAAAGCAAAACAGAACAAAAAATAACCAAATAAACAACTAAAACATTCATAAAATTTTTAGAAAACCCAAGAAACCCCAGGGACAAGCTAAGGAAAAAGAACAGAAAATAAATGCTCACTTGCTAAGTCATTAAAGGCTTACTTTTCTGAAAAATCCCCTTTAATCTCTTACTTTTATTAAAACAGGATTTACACAGATTCATAAAATCAAGCTTTGACACCCCAAATATTAGATTTTTTTTTTTTTTTTTTTTAAAAGTAGGGCAAAAGACATATACGCCTCCTTTTCATAGAATATCCTAGGGCTTGTTTGGTTCAACAACTCAAACTTGGAGATTTGAACCTTTTAGGTTAGAACTGTAGAATCTGAACTGTAGTGATTCAAACTGTAATTTGAACTGTTGTTTGGATATACAAATAAATTATAATTTGAATTGGGAATAAAATCCGAACTGTATTTGAATAAAATCCGAACTGTATTTGGATAAAGTGTTGAAAACTGTCATTAGAGTTTTGTAACAAATCTTATAAAACCTCATTATAAATGATATTAAAAAATATGGAATATGAGTGGGGATTTGTTCCTCTCTTCATTATAAACACATTAAAAAATCATCTCAATCGGAATTAAAACGAAGAAATTATAGCATTTTTAAGATTGAAATTGAAGAGAGAGAAAAAGTAGAATCTAGAACTATTGGACTGTAGACAACAATTCGGATTGTTAAAATTTAGATGGGGAGATGAATTCTAAAATCAACAATTTGAGTTGTCCTTGAACCATTGTTAATGATTTGAATTGTCCTTGAATTTTCCTCTCCCAAACACCAATTTAAATCCTGAACTAAGGTTTAAATCCTTAACAACAATTTGAGTTGTTGAAACAAACAGGAACCTAGAAATCTGCTTAACTGTTCTAGTGAGATCAAGTTCAAATCTAGAGCCTCACCAAACCTACAGTATTCTGGAACAATGAACCGTGTAATTTACCAGGAAAATAACCCACTAGATAATTTACGAGTAAGCTATATGCCTAGCGCTTTGCAACCTCTCGTGCAAAGCTCCTCAAATTTGTTAGGTCGCCCAGAAAGATACTTTAGTTCAACATTTCATTAGAACCTTTCACTTTCCTTTTTATTTTAAGATAAAGTTTCATAAAGCATAAACAAATTCAGCATGGTGCAATAACTGCCAGAAGATTTTAAAGGAAAACTTTCAGCTTCTTGCAATGGTCATTCAACCGAAGACATAAGCATTACCTTCTCTTTTCGGTTGTCAGTTTGGGTATGTGAACCAATTACAACCACATTATCAGGAAGCTTTTCCAACCTACTCTTAAATGAAGAATATGAATCTGTATTTCCCACAAGAGACTTCTCAGCATCCTTCATGAACAAGATGAAAGGAGAATCTCTACTCTCACTATGTACAGCCTGGAAAGAAGTTTATTTTAAATTAATAAGGAACCGGGCCATGGGGGAACAAAGTATGAAAGCAAACCAAAAAAGTTAAATGCAACCTTGAACAATGTGTTAATAAGTAGCTTGTCTAATTCTTCTACACCCGTGCTTTCCAAACGAAGATCAGAAGCTACAGAGAGAAGAGGGAGGAGTAAGACATAGAGCTTCAGTATTAAGGGGTAAAGAAATGCAGAAAGCAACATTTTAAGGGCCCGAGTTTATGGAAATAATGATGCCAAGTCATACCATTGCAGAAGTATCCATAACCTACATCACAAAGTCCCCCAAGATCAACCCCATCATTTATGGGTTTATCAAATCTTACACCAACTTTTGATATAGGATTGCCTTCAAAAAGTAACATAATCTTTCCACGTGCTCCGTTCTGTGGGCCCCTATATATCATGTAACAGAGCATCAACAGGTCAAGCATTCCCTAGAGAGAAAAAAAAAGGGGTAAAAAAAGGAGCAGATTCATGAATAATTTCTTTGTAAAGGTTGTACCTCGATGAAGATGAAGAATACAGGCTACCACAAGTTGAACCAATAAATCTAACCCTATCACCTGCACGATTCATATTAAGTTAACTACTGAAAGAAAGGAAAGCACGTGAGAGCCTACTGTAAAGGGCCTTTCCGGAGCTAGTTGAAGTGGTATACCTATTTTAAATAAATAATTCTTAGATGCCCCAGAAGAAGAGGGGACAGTCTCAGACTCCATTTTCGTTTGAGATTCCAGGCCACAAGTAGGACCATTTGAAGAGCTTGGTGTCCCAGCTTCACAATTTGACTGATCCATGGTCTTCGTCGCATCGGAGAGTACAGGGCCTTGTTTGGAGCAGTTGCAGGATTTTTCCGCATTAAGTCCATCCTTCAGCAACTCGGCTTCCTTGGATGATAAACCCTATATCGCAATCCATCGTCAATAATTTAAAGTAATTAGCCTCCATCATCTTTGACAATTGACAAGTATGATTGATGAAAGAAGAAAATTATGGCAGTGATGAAATACAAATGTCAAAATGACATTAATTCATTGGTTTTTAACGTGACTGTTAACTGAATCAAGATGGATACAGAATCAAAGTAAATCAGCAATAGAAAACTAGAGAGTTAAATTCCAAAATTGAGGAAGTGCTGTTTATCTTACAGCCAAAAAAGAGTGGCTGTCAAATATGAGCAACTTGGCCTGGAAGTAGTTAGCAAGGGCCTTTGCCAACATCTCCTGATATATCTCTGACCCTACAAGATGTTGAAACGCACAAATTATCAACTTAATGGGCTATAAATGCATATTACTCCTGAAATCAAAACTAAAACTAGCAAATCAGACAAACCTGCAGGACCAGAAAGCAATATTCGTGGATTCACAGTAAGAAGCTGTGTTGTGTATTTTGCATGTTCTTTACGTTTCAGGTGTATAAACGAAGCTGCAATCAAAACGTTTTTTGTATTCTCACTGCAAAAGTTAAAAACAAAAGGCACATATTACTGAAGAACCATTCAAGATTAGAAAGCATGCAACACAAAATTCAGAAGTAAGAACCAAACAATAAAGTAAAACTAGGTAATTACGTAAACAAGAGTAACAGAGCAAATTAAATGTGTCCGGACATCCATCCTAAAAGGTCTTTGGATTAGACTCAGTTATCAGTATCATTTAAAAGACTAACACGCCATTATAAAGAATCAATTACGTCAAATATTCCCACCCAAATCAGGTGCTTGCAATCACCATAAAAAGTCACACAGAGCAGGGTGAAATATGTTAAAACCAGTCCCTATGGGAAACAAGGCCTCTAGGCCTTTTAGCCTGGCTTTAGCTCATGTTAACCACTCTTGGTCTTGGATCCTTCCCACTGAACTTGAGGATGAGAAAAACCAATTTAACAAAATGGGATACCACAGTTCGAGTCAGAGAAATAGCATGCCATGCATGGAGAGATCCATGTGTATAGGGAAAAAAATCCAGTGAATCTTATTTTTTAATTGAAAAAACAAAAAAAACAAAAAAAACAAAAAAAAAAAAAAAAAAAAAAAAAAAAAAAAAAAAAAAAAAAAAAAACTGCAAGAAATTTTAATCTAGTAGGATGAAATACATGTGAAGAAAATAAAGGAAAATATAATGCAAAATGAAAATAAATTCTACCTCAAATAGTATGGGAAGTTGTCAAATGAAACATCTATGGTTTTCCCATCAAGAATCCCTGCATGAATATCTTCTTTAAACACTGCACATCGCAAAGACATGACTGAAGTTGACGCTGGCTGTGAATCCCTCGTCCACTCGTTTGCTTCTTCCAAGACCTGTTTACATATATCTTTGCTCAATTTTAGTTTACAACTAGGTGATCCAGCTAACATCCTCAATAAAGGCCTTAGCAAATCATTCACCCCAGAGAATTTTACATTGCCTGCCTCTGTGCCAGAGTCTGGATTGCAGTCGGGGGTCTTGTCGATCGCTCCAGTATCTTCAGCTTTATCACTTCCTAAGTTCGGGGTTGACGTGCCTTCCGGGCCATCAAGCTCAACATCTGTGCCATCATGAACAACAGACTGAGAGGGTCCCTCAGCTGGATGAATTTTACCAGTGGAATGACCTGGAGACTTCCACCGTGATAAGTCTTGTCTCAGGCTTGATAGAGATGCCAATATGGAAGCCCCAGCCACAGCCGAAGGATCTCCCGTCCGCCTTTCAACATGCAAATATTTTCCAACAGGACCAACACCACTCTGGCCCTCTGTACCCTTAACAGTGACCTCACTCATGAGTTGCTGAAAAATCTATGCCAATGAAAATTAAGGAAATTATCCCAAATACCACTCCTATGAAGAAGCGTGAAAGATACATGAACACTATTGAAAAATTAAAAATGCAGAATATAGTCTATAACTAAAACTCTCTCTATAGTAAAAAAAATGTCAATATAGGGGCACGGAAGGATACATAGGCATGGTTCCCCAGAAATCCAAAGACCACCTCATCTCCCGAGCTAAGTACACAGTTAGAAGTTTTCTTGACCGTTGTGCCATTAACCTGCACCGATCCCTTGCTTCCCGTACTTTCTAGAACTGCTACAGCACTGCCCTCACGCTGATAATGTCCAGAAAGAATGAGTGGTCATACTGCATATACATTTACGAAGCTCAACTTTGAAAAAGAAAAAGCACCCGAGTAAAAGAAATTGCAACACCCCTCTCCACAACTAAAAGAAAGGCCTTTCACGACCAAGAGTGAAAACAAATAAAAATAAATAACACTTCTAGGGGCAAAGTTAAGTGCTTGCGCGTGTGCTCAAGTGTCAGTGCCGCAAAACCCCACTAAAATCTCAAAACTCACTTTGAAAAAAAATACCTGTGTGCGCTTGATCTTGCACAAGACACCGCTGATAGACTGTTCCTTCAAGGTAAAGCTGCAGTTTCTGTTTGAACCGACTGTGAAATTCGACGTGGAGATGACAATATTCGGATTCTAGAGTTGAGACAAATGCAAAACAACCAACCATCAAAATCAAACCTTTAGCTTTAAACTAATCAAGTATTGTTCAAGTATGATTATATCTCGTTATGCATATAAAAATGAAAAGAAAAGAACTCAGAAAGTCGTGAAGCACTAATTAGTAATGACCTGCGAAGACTGAGACAAAAGTCTACACCAAGGCGTTGACGTCTCGAAACCTGAACTTTTCGCGTAAAAACCGAATGAAAGAGAACTTCTCGGCTTATCTGCTAAAGGCGAAGTCCCTTTAAAACCAGCCAAACAAAAAAGAAAAGCAAAAGGAGTCAAATTTCAACGAAAGAAATTTTAAAAAAACCCCAAATTTAACGAAAACAATCACTGATAACAATACGAGTGATAAGCTACCTTCGGCGATCGGCGTCGACACAGCGACGGCCTGCGAGGCCGCCTCGGTCTTGGCGGAACTCGCGCCGTCTCCGGCAATCGGAGCATCGCCGGAACCACATTCTCCGGGATCGGCCGGCGGCGGAGTCGGTGTACGCACTTCCTTTGAATTCTCCGCAGCCGGCATCGACTTCTCCGAGCCTCCACCATTCTCGACCTGCAAAAAAAAACGCCGAATCAAAACCCTAGAACTCCCAATCCACAACCACGAAAAAAGACCCAAACTTTGAAGCTCCACCAACAAAAGAAATGAAATGGATTCATGTTTCTCGCCGGAGCACCTTTGGACGCTTCGGTGACGGCGGTTTATCGTCGGACGGCGAAGATCTTTTGCTGTTGTTACCGGAGAGAGATCCACTTCGCCTCGTTGAAACCATGGCTCTCACTCTCCTCTCTCTCTCTTCTGGTCTTCCTTTTTTCTTTTTATTTTCCTTTTCTTCTCTTTTATTTTTTTTTCAATTGTTGTACATACAAACGCTACACTGAGAGAGAAGGAGAAGAAGGAAGAATAGATATAAAGGAAATAAAAATTTATTTTCATGGATTTGCTTTCAGCTTTTCCCTTTTATAATCTTTTTTTTTGTTATTTATTTTAATTTTTAAAAAATAATAATAAAATATAACATAATAATGATAAATAATAGTAGTTCCTTTTTCTCTACTTTGTCGTGGTTGGTGCACGGAAATTCGATGCCCCTTCCCTCGCAACGGCGCACGTTAAGCGGTACATTTTAGCGAGTGAGGTTGTGACTGTGGAGAGGTTGGTGGTATAAGTTAAGCGTGGCTTTCTGGTTGTTTCTAAAATGCGCTGCGGCTGTTTTTTTTATTTTTCGATAACGATATTGTGTCAAGTGGTTGTTTTTCTTTGTCACTCGTGTTTTTTTTTTTTTTTTGATAATTTCTTTGTCACTCGTGTTATTTCGCACTTCTTGTGTTAGAGTTGAGGATGAGAAAACGAGAAGAGAGAAGCATTGCCATTTTGTACTCTTTTTTCCTTTTTCTTTTTTACCTTTTTTTCTTATTATTCTTTCCCTTCGCCTGAAATACTTGTTTTGGTTAAAGAAAAAAAAAAATATATATATATATATGTAAAAATATGTGGCAGAGAAAATAGGTGCGTATTTTAGTCTGACTCCAGTGCAAGTTAGTTTTATTATAGTAAAAAAATTTTAAAAATAGTCACATTTAATTTTTTTATTACAGTAAAAAATTATTATATAAAATCACATTTCAACTCGAATCAACAAATTAAACGGACCCCAAGTGTCTTCTATTCCAACCTCCGATCCCATTATGTAAATCTTGTTTTTTTTTTTTCATATATACATGTATGTAATATTAATATATATAATGATGTTTTTAGAGTATTAATCTATTGGTTTATGTTAGTTCTAAATTAAATATTATAGATTTATTTTTTATGGTTGAGTTCAAATTCAATTGTGATACTTTAATTTGTTACTGTTAGTGTGATGACCTTACTAGGTGACTGTCACTGTAGCTGACTTTAATATATTTATACATTCTGAAATTTTTGAGAAATTTGTGGAATTTAAAAAAAAAATGCTATAAAGAATGTTGTAACATTTTTGTACATAAGTTTATTTTCCTTAAAATGCTATCTCATTTTGAACATTAGTTACTTTCTCCCAAAATGTTATATCATAATAACATAAGTTATGACTTCCCTTTTTAAACATAACATGAAGATTATACTTCAAAAACAAAATCCTTTTCTAAGGCATAAATGTATGCAAATGTATTTACTTGCTCCTTGAACATTGCTTACTTACATAAACTTGACAATCTTAATACAAACTTCCAACATACAAAGTCAGAGTCATATTTTAACAAAACTATTTAACACTTTAAACTGTTGCGGAAATAATTACATGCGATATACATTCGTCGATCTGCACACCGTTCGTCCACTGCCTTGCCAACAATCCATCAAGTATTTGATGGAGGTTGCTTACCTACAGTATAAATACTCTATAATGAGCTTTTCGCTCATCAAGTATGAACTATTTCTCGCAAAACTTATGTAAGTTCACACGACTATATATGCATGAACCGATTATGCTGACATATGATGTTTTATCATAGTTTTACTGTCTGAACTTATCTTATTTACTGATGGGCCCGAGTGTTCGTACAATTGCGCGCAATAATCGAGACGTGAAGGTTTGCAAGGTCTCCAACGACATCGTGATTTTAAACTGAACTGAGTCCCTCTATTACGGATGACTTTTTTTCGTTATCTCCCTCGCGGAGTCTGATTACCTCACTTGCGGAGGCTGATATGACACTCAATTGAGTTTCTTCTTATAAGTTCCTCTTAACTTATTAAGGTACATGCAAAATGACATAGCATAGCATACTATTACTATAACATAAAATATACTCAAACATATATAATTCATGTGTACTGTTATTTTAAAATCTATTTATATTGTAGGCGAGATTCATACTTACTTAGTTTATAAAACTGGAATCCTCTAGTCGCAACACAGTCTATTCGCTTTCTTGCTTGTTTCTGAGAATAAACACCCATAAAGAGTGTGAGATTAACTCACTTGTTATTCTATTTTAACAAACTTGTAAGAAAGTCTAATTTCTCTATTTATGGCTTTCTTTCTCTTTTCTACCTTAAAGGATTATAAAATCATGTTTCTAATTTAAAGATTAGGTTTATTAAATCCTCATAACCTTACTTTTCATTAAACAAAGTTTAAAATCAACATACTTTCCTAAGGTTACGTTTCGAGTTCTTCAATGAACTTTTCTGTTTAACACCAAAACTATTTTAACAGTTTTGCAGTGTTTCTAAGAAAATAGTTTAAAGCTTCTTTTTAGAGCTAAAACTAAGTTTAACTTCAAATTCTCAAACTAAAATCCGACGGAGTTTCACCTGATTTTATGTGTTTCCCGAGCTATCCTTAGCTCATTTTATCCATTAATCCAACTCTTAGACATAACCCACAATCTTTCTCCTATAATTTTATCATCTTAGAAACCATACTCTAGGGTTTCAACCAATTTCTCACAAGGATTTCCATAACCAAAAGTTGCTAGAAACATAATCTAACAACCAAAAACACATCCTTTAATCACTAAGTTTTCAATTCCTTTATCAATGGAAATTCAATCATCATCTTAATCAAACTTTCTCCATACTTTCTTCCATATCCAAGGATTCAGCCATGGTAAGAAAAAAGAGAGGAAAACTGAAATCTCACCTTAAAAGAATGAAGAACAAACTCCAGAGTCACTAATCCTCGGTAGTTCGATCAATTTATGCTTAAAACTTGCTTTCTTCACTTTGGTAAATTTTTCCCTCTCCCTCTTGCCCAGGTTTTATCTTCTCTCTTGGCATGAAAAATAAACCTTTGATGGTGTTCGTACCTCTTAAAAACGTTTGAAATAAGGTAGAAGGACCTAATTGTAATTTCTAACTTTTTCAAGGTCTTTTTTGCAAAAATTTACTAAAAATATCACTTCTTGGCTTCTCTTCCAAGCTTGGCCGGCCACCTCACTAGGCAAATGGCATGATCTCAGCTCACCATCAAAAAAGTCACTTTAAATCTCAACCATCAATATTTAATGGTTATCTTTTCCCGGTTCAGTTTAATTTCTAACCAGTGCGTATTTGATCTATGTTTTCTAGACAGTTAGTCTACTTGATCAGCTTTTTCAACCTTGACTAGGTTGACTTTTTGGTCAATAATATTTTCGACTCGGTCAACCCTAATCAGTTAAAAATCCTACTTTTCTTGGTTCAACAACCAGGGCGAGGTGAAAAATATATCATATCTCACTTAAATTCTTAACTGCTTTCTTGATGTCATCTCGCTGACATGCAAAGGATGATAGATAATTTGATTTTATCCAATAGGTGCTCTTATCTCATTGGTCGGCTATAATGGTATGAGAAAAGAAAAGCTTTTCACGCTCATCCAATCATTAATCGCCATTGGCCCTTTACATGTCCGGTCATAATTGGAGAAGATAAAGAGGCGATTCTCAAATTTCTTATTCTTGGAAAATTAATGGCATCGAGTGCGCAGCGGAATTTAAAAATTTTAATCAACGTCAAAGCCAAACAAGAACATGTTCATGATGCTATATAACATAAATACTAAAGATCTAAAACATACCTTTTGAGATTTTAGGAAACTGCACGTCTGACAGATCTAAGCGTTCCAAACAGCAACCGGAAGAGCCTCAACCAACTAGTCTTCTTTGCTATTCTCGTTTCCATGATCGGTGTGCGGGTGGGCACACGTCGTTTAATCTCCTCTAGGTATTCTTGATCTCCTTCCAATCATAAGAGAGCCAAAGAAAAAATTATTCTTGAGAATTAAACAATTTTTCCTCTCAGGAATCTTTTATCAATAGCCTCCAAAAAATCTCTCAAGTGATCTAATGAGTAATGTGACTTAATAGACTATTTATAGTGTTTAGGAAGTCATACTTTCGTAACAATTAGGTTTCCCAAAGTTCTAATCGCATCCAGAGTCGATTTTGTCATGTCATCATGCATTTTACGTTACAACCGGTCGACCGGTGACAGAGACGTTATAACTCACTGGTCAACCTGTCTTCACTAACCGGTCGACCTGTGACCGGTCTACCCAACCGGTCTACCTGTCTGCACTGACGAAAGTTGTTTTTCTTAGTTTTTCAATACGGGAAACTTGCATAGAGCCTCAGTTTTGATTCAAACAACCCAATAGAGAAATTGCCTGATCAAAACAGTCATATAATAGTCTTCCCATATTAAACAACTCTTAAAACAATAATTCAACCAATTTATCTAGAATTAATTTATCAATTAATTCACCCGATAAATCACCCTTGAATTAACTTTGAACCTCTTTTACGGAAATAACACAAGTTACCAATGTGTAGGAAATACACCGTATCGTTACAGAAAATTATGTGAGCTAGCAAAGGGACCCGATGGACATATATAAATCAAGCTCCTATAATCACAACGCTACTTGTAAACCAACAAGTCCGTCTCATGATTACAAAACTCTAGCGCTATTCCACTAAAAGCCTAGAGCTGCACTCTCGATTTATATAGCGTATTTACAAAACTCTGATTAGCTCATTCCATGACTCAATATATTAGTGTATCATCCCCATAGGATATCCATAATCGACTTGAGGTCAAGTTCCGTTTTACCTTCCCGATTACATTTATCTTATGTTCCATTATCATACCATCGAAAAAA